TATATGAATTTCTGAAGCTCACTGGATGGAGAGGATCAAAAGTGTTGTATTTTGGTGACCACATATACAGTGACCTGGCGGTGAGGAGCTGTTTTCTCTCTTCTTTGGGGGATAGAATTGTTAGTTCTACTTGTAAGGAATTTCTCTTCTTTTTAAGGTTGTTATTATGCTTTCTTAAAAATCAGGAGTAAGTCACATTTTTAAATGTCTTTTTTGTTGTTGGTGGTTTTTTGTTTGATTTGTTTTTTTTCTGCTGGTCCTAGGGCTTGAACTTAGGGTCTGGGTACTGTCTCTGAGCTTTCTTTGATCAAGGCTAGCACTCTTGAGCCACAGCTCCACTTCTGGATTTGTTGGTGCTTAGTTGGAGATAAGAGTCTCATGGACTTCCCCTTCTGGGCTGGCTTCAAACTGCAATCTTTAGATCTCAGTCTCCTGAGTAGCTAGGATTACAGGCATGCACTACCAGCACCTGGAATAAATGTCTCTTTTTAAAAGACTAGTATAGATTTCAAAAAAGATGAATTTTTTGGAAATAATACAAATTAAAAATTTATTCAAAGTTTGTTTATAAAACCTTTTCATGGACTATAGTCATTGCTCAAGTGGTAGAGCGCCATCTGTGAGCAAAAAGCTGAGCAAGGTGGGAGACACTGAGTTCAATCCCTGATACTAACACACACATATGCACACACATATCTGTGTGTGCACACACATATCTGGGTATGCATACTCACACATGCACAACACTCCTTCCCATTTATTTATTTTTCAATGGTCTTTATTTTATTATTATTATTATTAAAAATGTATATATTTGCCATATACAACATGATATAGCAAGTTAATATGTTATATACACAGAACTTTCTGGATTTACACACAATTCTTTGTGATTTTAAAGACGATAAGTACACTGTTATTAACTACAGATCATCATACAGTACAATAGTCTGAATCAATTTCTAATTTTCTTCTCCCTTCTCACACACCTCTGCAGCCCCTGCTAGCCAATATTCTATTCTCTCCTTTTTTTTTTTTTTCAAATTCTTTATTGTTATTAAGTGGTAGCATAATTTCCTAAATTTCACAGTATTTTGGGATAGTGATGCTTAGTTAAAATCATGAACACATTCTGACTTTCATGGGGCAAATTGTCTATCACGGTCTATAACATTTATGAGTTCTTTGAGCTTTGCAATACAGTTATTTCTTCCACATTGGGTGGTATGTACATTTCTTTTGTTTTGCATAGCATCAGCTGTTCCCTTTTTCCCACTTGTTCCCTCCCTCCCATCACTGCCATTGAGTTGCTTAGTTCATTTTGGTCAATGTCCTGTGCAGCTGATGGGTCCCGCTGTTGTATGTTTTTTCCTGATTCCCTCTAGTTCTGTGTTGTCTTCCTGGTTTCCCTCTGGTGTGCACACATATACCATATATGTGATCAGCAGCATGGGGTTATTTAGTAGTGATTTGACCAGATGAGTGGAAGTCCTTTGTTTCTTAAGTCTTGTTAATTTTTTTTTTTTAGATGAATCGGAGTAAGTTGATAACTTTTATTTTTTATTTTTTTGGTCGTGGGGCCTGAACTCTGGGCCTGGGCGCTGTCCCTCAGCTCTTCAGCTCAAGCCACAGTGCCACTTCTAGCTCTGTCTGCTTATGTGGTCCTGAGGAATCAAACTCAGGGCCTCATGCATGCAAGGCAAGCACTTTACCACTGAGCCACTTTCTCAGCCCAAGTCTTGTTAATTTTGTTGTATCACTTTACATTTTGGATTTAACATCCACTTATCAGGGAGACCATGTACCGTTTGTCTCTTTGCTCTTGGCTTACCTCGCTCAACATGATTTCTTCCAGCTCCATCCATTTCCCTGCAAATGCCATTATTTTGTTCTTTCTAATGGCTGCATAATACTCCATTGTGTATAGATACCACAATTTTTGGATCCATTCATCTGTGGTGGGACATCTGAGTTGTTTCCATATCCTGGCTATTGTGAACAGTGCTGCAATAAACATGGAGGTGCACGTGTCCTTGTATATTGGTTCCTGTTGTTCAGGACAGATGCCTAGAAGTGGTATGACTGGGTCATAAGGGAGGTCAACATTTAGCTTTCTGAGGACCCTCCAGATTGCTTTCCAAAGTGGTTGTTTAAGTGTACATTCCCACCAGCAGCGTAATAGGGTTCCTCTTTCTCCGCATCCCCTCCAGCATTTGTCGTTGGCTGACTTTAGGATGTGGGCCATTCTGACTGGGGTAAGGTGGTATCTCAGGGTTGTCTTTATTTGCATTTCCTTCACAACCAGGGATGGTGAACATTTCCTCATGTGTTTCTTTGCCATTTTTATCTCTTCTTCTGAGAAGTCTCTTTTTAGTTCCCTTGCCCATTTAGTAATTGGTTTGTTAGGCTTTGGAGGGATTAGTTTCTTGAGTTCCCTGTATATACTGGATATTAACCCTTTGTCTGATATACTGCTGGCAAATATTTTTCCCCAGTTAGTTGGTTGTCTTTCTAGCTTGGTTGCTATAGCTTTAGCTGTACAGAAACTTTTTATTTTAAGGTAGTCCCATTTGTCAAGTCTCTCTCCAATTTGTTGTGACCCTGGGATTCTGTTCAGGAAGTTCCTGCCTGTGCCTATAAGTTCAAGTGTCTCTCCTACTTTGTCCTGCAGTAGTTTCAGAGATTCAGGTTTGATGTTAAGGTCTTTAGTCCATTTTGAGTTGATGTTGGTGCATGGTGATAGACTAGGGTCCACTTTTAGTTTTCTGCATGTGGCCTCCCAGTTTTCCCAGCACCAGTAGTTGAAGAGGCTGTGTTTCTTCCACTGTATGTCTTTGGCTCCTTTGTCAAATATCAGCTGACTGTAGGCATGTGATTTTATTTCTGGATCTCTTATTCCATTGGTCTTTGGGTCTGTTTTTGTGCCAGTACCATGCTGTCTTCCCCTTCCCATTTAAATAACGGTAATATACTGCTAGTGGGAATGTAAACTTGTTTAACTACTCTGGAAACCAGTGTGGAGGTTCTTCAAAAGACTATGCATACAACTACCCTATGATTCAGTAATTCCACTCCTGAACATATATCCGAATGATCACAAACCAGGGTACAGTAAAGCCATCAGAACAACCAGGGTCCTTGAAGCACTGTTTACCATAGCTATGGTATGGAGTCCACCCAGATGATTCTCTGGAGTGGAGAAATGGATCAAGAAAATATACACAATGGAATTGTGCTCTTCCATTAGAAAGAATGATATATATCATTTGTGAAGAAATGAAAAGACCTGGAAGAAATTAGGTTAAGTGAAGCAAGCCAGGCCCAGAGAGAGACAGAGGTTGCATATTTTTACTCATATGTGTAAGCTAGATTGGTTTATAAGTATATAAATAAATGCTGAGTGGTATGCAAGTATGCATAAATGTATTACTTGAAATAAGGTAGATTTAGGGGAGAACTCAGTTTAATTCCCTGGAAAGGCAAAATCTAGTTAAACAAAATAAACACCAGAAAATTGGGTACTTGAGAGGAGGGGTGGAGTTGAGGTCAAGGGAAGGGAGTTAGACAAATGAAGAGAAGAAGAAGGGGAGAATGTAGTGAAACTCAATATCCTACAAAATAAAGAAAAGTTAGGGATGGGTGAGAATGTTGAAAGGGGTTTCATTGATCAAGATACATTATATTCATAACCTTCTTTGTTGAATGACAGTTCCTTTTTACAACTACTTAAAGAGAATAAAAATATTTAAAAAAAAACACAAAAAATGGAATGTGTCGGGTGCCAGTGGCTCACACCTGTGATCCTAACTACTTAGGAGGCTGAAAGCTGAGGATTGCAGTTCAAAGCCAACTTGGGCAAGAAAGTATATAAGACTCAAAAGCTGGAAGTGGAGCTGTGACTCAAGTGATAGAGTGCTAGCCTTGAGTGCAGCAAAGCTCAGGGACAGCTTCCAGGGCCTGAGTTCAAGCCTCAGATCTGGCACAATAAATAAACAAATAGAAATATGCAAATAAATGCCAGTGTTCTTTCCCTTGCCTTTTATCAACGTATTGAAAAACATGAAAGTGCCACATGAATGCTCATGGACCTCAGTCAGGGATGCCAGGGCAGCCAGGTTCTTATGGAGAATAAGCTGCCATTACTTGCACAGATGAGGCTTTCTTGCCCTTGGGATGATGAAGGAGGATTGGCATGAGGGTTTCCGCTCTACTTGGACAGGGCTGAGTTCGTATCCACTACCAGGCTTGAGTTTGCATCTGTTACAGGATCCCAGGTTTCACTGTGCAAACCCTTCAGAGCCCGAAGCTCAGAGTCAGGGAGCTAATGAGACAGGGTCATGGCCACCTATCAATTCCCCTGTTGCCATTTGGGGATCAGCCTACCCTGGGCTGGCCTTCTGTGTGTGAGTCCCTCTGTGTCTGCTACCATGGATGCTGTCAGTTCTAACTGGAAGCATTTTCAGAGGGCACATGTCTGAGCTCCACCCAGGTCTTCCTGGTGACAGTAAAGATAGAGGGTGGGTTCCAGCACCTGTGTGTAGGAATCATCTTCCCAACTTACTCCAGCGCACATTGTGACCACACCTACCCATCCAGAGACTTAAGGTCTGTGGTCAGGAGTCAGGTTCCATGTGTCTCAACTTGTGTTGACTTTGGGCACGTCTCTCCAGCTCTGATGTTGACATTTGTGAGAAGAGTAAATAAAGTCACATGTATCTCAAAGTGTTTTCATTAAGATACATGCATTTGCAAATGCAGACCCTTCTTCCCTTCAGATCTTGGTTCACATGTTCCTTTATTAGTCTGGTCTCCCTGTGTGAAACGATGGCCTTCTTATTCTGTTTGTTCTTTGTACTTTGTATTTTTCACCGTGTGGTTTATTTATTTTCTGAGGTTGTCAGCTCTTGTGCATTGCTTTATCCTCAGTATCTATGTCAGAACCTGGCAAATACTGGTTGGTAAATATTTGCCATAAGAAAAAGTGAATAAACATTTAGTGCCGTGACTGCCTGTTTTAGATTTTCCAGGACAAAACTGATTGTATTCTGACCTATGATAGGTCATGTGGTTATAATAGGTGCAATGAAGAATGTGATTATGTATGCTTAGGTTGTGTGATCATTCCAAGAAGCAGGGTCTCTATTTCTTCATAACACATAGGGCCTGGCACACTCTAAGTCCTCCCCTGAGGTCTGAGGATTGCTGGTGGTCACGAGTGAAGGTCTTGAACTTATTGTTGTGCTTGGCATCAGGCACATGCTGGGCGAGCTCCTTAGTCCCGAGTTGCATGCCAGCCCTTGGTTTTCTAAGACAAGGTCTTTCTTGTATCCCAGGCTGCCCTGAAAGTCATTACCTATAGCGTGGGCTGCTTTAAACTCCTGATCCTCCTGTAGTGGTACAATTACAGGCATGTGCCCCCACACTCCACTCAGAGGGTCTTTGCTGGTGTTTGAATTGAGCTCTGTCGGTTCCACCTCAATGTCTTATCTTCACAGACCATGGTTAATGATTCCAAACCCCTTGTTTTTTCAGGAGCTGTGTTATTCATGGTGATTATTTCCAGAACAGAAACTTCCTTGGGGTGAAAGTGGTCAACGCCTGGGGTCAATTTAGTTTTAATTAATTGTAATTATTTGAATTTGGCTTGGTTAATAACTAACCATTACAACTAAAAAGTAATTAAACAAATATCTCCCCCGTCTGGGGTAGGTAATAAAATGGTTTGATTTCTGGAGAGACTGATGTTGACCTACATTTGTGATCAGGATTTGACCCTGAAGCATGGCTGGCGGACAGGTGCCATCATCCCTGAGTTGCGGTCAGAGCTGAAGATCATGAACACCGAGCAGTACGTTCAAACCATGACTTGGCTGCAGACCTTGACTGGGCTGCTGGAGCAGATGCAGGTTTGGGAGTTTCTTTCTCACTTTTTTCCTAAGCCTAAAATTAGGCATTGGTCAAACTTATTCCATCCATTTTCTGTTTAATTATAGCTATAAAGTATAAGGTTTAAGATGTCCCCAGTAGATTGTAGAATAACTGTGTGGGAGAGATTTTTGTCTCTAGAGCCACTTTGACATTTCCCCTAAGGGGATATTTAAAAATGCCCCACAAGGCCATTGAGAGAGAGTTTGCAGGGCTGAGTAACTTTACATTCCTCCATTGGTATAAATGGGGTCAGCTGGGAGCCGTCCTGCAGAGTGCCCTTATTGGGTGTATTCCTGAAGCTTCCTTGACTTTGCTGTGGAACTTCTGTGTCGTGACTCTTGGTTTCCTCATCTATAAAATGAAGGGTCCTGTGGTGTGAGCATTTCAGTCTAGGCAAGAGCCAAGATCCCAGGCCCAGTCTCCACTGTATTCTGAAAAAACAGCTGGCTTCTGGAGCTCAGAGCTAGCCATTTCTTTCTGTGGTTGTGCAGCTGGTCTCAGACAGTAAGTCATGTTCTTCTCCTGGGGGCATTTCCTGGCCCATGAAGCTGCCCCTCTGTGACAACTGTGACCCTTGCGGGCCCCCCACCCCCATCCCATCTCACAAGGCACCTGCTTTCTCTGTGGTCCAGCTTGCTTGGCTCCCATCATGCAGCTTGAGGGCTGAGCCTGTAGATTAAAGGACACAGCTGTCGACTCTTGGCAGATATACCTGCAGCTGTTGCCCACAGCCTGCTGCCCATGGCCAGCTACCCATAGTCCACTGCCCACGGCCTGCTATTCACAGCTGCTCCTAGGGAGCGTGGAGGAGAGCCAGGCCAGGGCCTCTCCCAGGGCACACAGTCATGAGTGTGGAGTCCTGCACGTCCTCCAAGCCTGGCTTCCAGAATGCTCTGGTGATACTGGTTCTTGGCTCCTCTCTAAGAAGGACTTGTTTTGTTTTTTGTACTATGCATGCCTGTGAGGTGATTGTCTAAAAATACCAGGCATCAATTCTGAGTCAATGGAATGAGAGTCTGTGCCCAGGTCTCTCAGCGTTAATATTTCTCTTTGCGTGTCACTGTGCTGAGTGAGTGCACTGTGCATGCTCTTCACTGCACAGTCCCAGCTGTCCTGGGTAACATCGCACAGTTTTCCCATGTTAGAATAAGGAAACAAGGGTAAAATATGTTAGTAACATGTCTGAGGTCATAAAATAAGAGAGTATGACTTGAATCTAGGTGTTATGATGCCCAGGTCCAGGCTTGTGATTACTTGTTTAGAGGTCTCAAGTAGAGCCACATCACTTTTAAAGTATTTCACTGCAATCGTTCTATTTTGTTATTAGTGGTTGTTAATCTTTGATTGGGCCTACTTTACAAATTAAACTTTATCAGAGGCATGGATTCGTAGGTAAAACATGGTTTAATGGGGCACGGGTATTCACTGGGGTCCTGGATTGTACCTCACAAATTGTGTTCCATCTGACAGCGACAGCTGACCAGGAAAATGTAAACATGCATAGATGATGTCACCATTTTGAGAACAGGCTTTGCCATGCTTTATTTCCTCTCTGATGTATAGAGAAATGAGAGTTGGTTAGGGGGTCTCTTACTGTGTCAAGTGTTGAGAATATTTTTGTGACTCACAGAATTAATTTCAGAAAGCTTAGGGTTGGAGAAACAAGAGAAGCAGGATACAGAGCTGAAGCTGCTTCCTCCCCCTCAGGTTAGGACCAGGAGCCTGGTTATGGGTCAAGAAGGAGATGTGTTAAGGCTGTGGGTGAGATTTTCTCCCCCAGACTGGTTCTCTGTATCCCTCATATTATTTTGTCATGGCCTCCCCTCTCCCCCACCCTCCCTTCCACAAAGGATCTCCAACTTTTCCTTGTATTATCTTCAACATCTAGAGCAGCGATGCTCAACACACAGTAGGCACTGAATGACTGACCACATGTCCGTGCACCTGAAACCCACATGTAGTTGTACAGAGATCCCTTGTGGTACCACTTGTGAGTTAGCCTAAATTTTATAGAGATTAGCTTGTTGATTTATAATGTAAAAGGTAATTGAACATGTTTTCAGAGATCCCACATCAAAACTTGCATGCCTTGCTGGTTGGGTGGACTGTGTCTCACTAATGCACAGCCAGCATTTCTCAGTGCTAGCTGCTTCTGGTGGAGTACCAGTGGTGATAGGCTAGAAATCCAAAGGTCAAGTTCAGTTGAGATGGCATTTGTGTGACTGGCAGAGACCCTCAGCCAGGGGACCCATAGTCCCAGGGTTGGGCTGGCAGATGTGGTAACAGAAGGGCTCAGGCTCCACGCAGAGAACAGGTGGTTTGCCTGTTTGGTCTTTTGCTTCATGGTCTAAGGTTAGCCAGGTGCTTTGGGTTTCAGGAAGCCCCACCTGTCTCCTGCAGGCTCATGTGCCTCTGACTCTGCTTCCACCCTTTCTATTTAGCCACCAGAAGTTGAGAGAGAGCCTGCTGCGGGCCCACTCTCCTGGTTTTTTTTTTTTTTTTCGTCAGTCATGGGGCTTGAACTCTGAGCTTGTGCACTGACCTTGTGCTCTTCAGCTCAAGGCTAGTGCTCTACCACTTGAGCCACAGCACCACTTCTGGCTTTTTGGTGGTTAATTGGAGATAAGAGTCTCATGGACTTTCCTGCCTGGGCTGGCTTTGAACCACAATCCTCAGATCTCAGCCTCCTGAGTAGCTAGGATTACAGGCATGAGCCACCAGCGCCCGGCTCCTGCTGTCCATTTTCCTGTGCCACCTTCTTTCTTGCCTTTTGCAAAGAAAATAAATAAAAAATTTATATATCTAGAAATATATTTTTATAGATACACATATTCTTATATATATATGTCATTAAACATTTAGAAAGATAATGTAACATTAAGGTAAAACCATTTATAGCCCTATTATCCTTGCACTAATGAACACAAATTCCCATGTGTAGTACATACTTTGTCATGCTTGTGATTAGTGGCTGTTCTGCTATGCATACTGTGCCCACTTGCCTGTCATGGTGTTGACACAGGATATGTGTAACCGGTAGTGTGCAGTGACTATCTGCAAATGTTCAATACATACATGCTAACCCATTGTACACTTACCTTATGTAGATAATACATGCCTTTTGTTACATAACATTGAAAAACAGTTTAATGTCTTCAGTGTATTCCATCTTAATTTGTCATACTATATTTCTAACTTAAAGTGTGTGTGTGTGTGTGTGTGTGTGTGTGTGTGTGTAGAAGGCAGAATTTCAATAGGAAAGTGTGAAAATGTATTATTCCATATGAGTGTCTGCCCCTTAACTTAAAGTAGTATCATTCCTGAAGCAAAGCAGTCCATTAAAGAATTGTGGTTTCCGGTGAAATCGAGGCTGTCACTAATGGGCTTGTGCCCCACAGGTTCACAGAGACGCCGAGTCACAGCTGGTTTTGCAGGAGTGGAAGAAGGAGAGAAGGGAGGTGAGGTAAGAGCGGCCTGCTTGGATGCCACTGTCCCATCTGACTGTGCTCAGCCACACATCTTCTCCCAGGGCGAGGCCTGGACGTCATTGGGAGATATCCTGTCTTAGCTCTCAGGTGTGATGTGACTGATTTATCCTAGGATCTGCTGTCTGCTATCGGTGATGTAGGATTTCCTCCCATGGCTGTGTTCTTCTGTTCTTGGACTCTTTCCCACCTTCTACTCTGGCCTTTTTGGGCTGCTGTGGCCATTGTTGGGATGGCTGGCAGCACTTTTAGCTGTGGGCCTGTTTCTGACCCTATGGTGAATTCCTAGGGCTCCTACACCTATATTTGTAACCATGGCTGCTTTAGGAGCTCACAGAGTCACTCATCAGGATATGTCTCAGTAAAGAAAGCTGCCTGGCCAGGTGCCAGTGGCTCACACCTATAATCCTAGCTACTCAGGAGGCTAAGATATGAGGATCACAGTTCAAAGCCAGCCTGGGCAAGAAAGTCTGTGAGACTTTTATCACCAATAAACTGCTAGAAAACTTAAGTGCCACTGTGGCTCAAGTGGTAGTGTGCTTGCCTTGAGCTGAAGAGCTAAAGGACAGCACCCAGGCCCAGTGTTCAAGCCCCACCACCAACCAAAAAAAAAAAAAAAAAAAGAAAAGAAAGCTACTTGTAGTCAGAGAAGTTTCAAAGCTGCCCTCAAGGAACAGTTGTCCACAGGGGACCTTGTTGACAATCACACTTTTCTAGGAAAGATGCTTGAAATGTGACACTCCACATGGATGATTTCTCTGTCTGTGATCCTCTTCTTACCCTGAGCACAGATCTCTAAGGCCTGGAAACAGCAGTTGCTCTTGATCTGGCCTTCGAGCTGTGGGCAGCCTGACCTCAGGAGTGTAATGTGGGGGAAAATGTGTGATCTGCACAAGAGAGGGAGTGTTGAATCTTGTCCTTCCTCTTCCTCTCAGGCTGTTGGCCATTGGCTTATTCAGAAATGAGTTCATCAGTATAAAAATGTAGGGTAAGAGGAAGGATTGGGGAAATCAGGCCATTATGTATTTGATTTTAGGTACTTGGTTTCCAGAGTCCAGACCTGGGGCCTACATTCCTCCTATTTCTGGTAACCTGATTATTAGTAAAGGAAACAGCTTCACTGCCAGAGATTGTGTGTTGACTTACAGTGTGACATCATCATAGATGTTTTAGTAACACGGTAAAAGCTATTCCTGTGGTTTGCCTGGAGACCTGATTGAATTTAATTTTCTATCATTTGGTCATCTGTCATCCTTCCATGATGGTGACACAAGACATCTGCTAACAACTCATGGCATTTACCACAGTTGTATGAATGAATGATTATACTTTTTGCTGTGTTTCGAAGTGGTTTATCAACAGTGCAGAGGTATTTTTCCATTTTTCTGGAGTATTCAGTGTGTGGATGGCGTGCATGGTACAGGTGGGGATGTTGACTTAGGCGTGAACGCATTGAGGCTGCATTGCAGATCCTAGCGCGGTGGGTGGGTGAGTGAGCCATAGGCGGGGAGTGTGATCCCAGTCATTTTGAACTAGATGGACGATGGATTTCTTGACTGGAGTTTCAGGTTGCTTGCTCTTGGCTGATATTTCTCCCCAGTGAGTCTTTTTTTATTGTCAAAAGAAATTTAGACGTTAGTAGTTGAAAAGACAGACCTTCTAAAACCATCCTCTGTTGCTCTTTGTTTTTCATTATTCCTTCAGAGAAATGACCAAAAGTTTCTTCAATGCCCAGTTTGGGAGCTTGTTCCGCACCGACCAGAACCCCACCTACTTCCTGCGGCGCCTGTCGAGGTTTGCCGACATCTACATGGCGTCCCTGAGCTGCCTCCTGAACTATGATGTGAACCACACGTTCTACCCCAGGAGGACTCCCCTGCAGCACGAGCTCCCCGCCTGGTCGGACAGCTCCTCTGCCTTCAGAGCCCCGGCCCTGCAGGAGGCCCAGGCCAAATAGCCCCACGTGTCCACCTGTGGGAACAGCCAGAGGCAGCACGTGATGGGGTTGACTTTGTGTGGGTCTGAGGGTTGCCTTCTGAAAAGATCTCCATATGCCTTTTGATATTTGTTTGGTATCTGCTGGGGAATACAACAGGTCCAGACAGGCGCTGGCCTTCCGGTCCTTGTAGGGCTGATTGGCAGGCTTTATTTGAAACTGTTCAGCCTTGTTTACTGAGGTCCCCAAACAGATGCCAGATCTTCTGGGATAGGCAAGACCACGTGATGCCTGTCTGTGTTCAGCTGGTTGGAACTTGTTCTCGACTCTTCCAAGGACATTTCCAGGCAGGCCTTGGGGACTGCAGGAGCATGGTGATGGGGCAAAGATAACCTGCTAGCAAGAACAGCTGACCTGTGAGCCCCTCAATGGCCCAGCGCTGCAGCACGTGGCAGCCAGTTCCTGAGGCCTGCAACCTCAGGCTGACGTGCATTCCCATGCACGATGCCAAGGGGACTCGCCTTCCCTGGGAGGATGAGTGAGAAAGGACAGGAACCCATTGTCCTGGGTTGTACTTGCTGTATCCTACCCCACGCTGGCCGGGGACCGCTGGCGAGCAGGTGAACAAGTGGTGGTGGGTCTGCAACCTGAGCTCAGGTTGGAATCTCCTTCTGCCTGGCAGGACAGTCCTCATGGAATAAGGCTGCAAGAGCAGAAGCCCAGCCTTGGCGTGAGGTCTGTGCGGGGCAGCCTGAGCGCTGGGCATTGCAGCGGCGAGGTAGGAAGGCCTGGCTAGCTTGAGTTTTTCTCATTCTAAGCAAGACAGGCAGCCTATGTGTTGATCCTATATCATATTTCTATAGTGTCTGTCAACATAAAGTACTTGCAGACTTGAGCACAGGCACCACCCCTCTGAGTGCTGTAGGAATGAATGAATGCCTGTCCTTAACAATCCGACTGTCGCTGATGGTATTTCATTGGTACTCTGCATACATGCTTGTGCTCAGATTAGCCTCTTCCATGTTGCTGGAACGCATTTTAAGCTTTTTCCATAATCTAGCAGTATTTATTTTTTTATTTTCTCTTCCTTTTTTTTTTTTTGCCAGTTCTGGGGCTTGAACTCAGGGCCTGGGGACTGTTCCTGAGCTTCTTTTGCTCCAGACTAGCACTCTTTTTCTGTGTACATGGTACTTAGGCTTTATACATGCTAGGCAAGCACTCTACCACTAAGCCACATTCCTAGCCCCTGACCTTGAATTCTTGATCTTTCTGCTTCAGCCTCCTGCGTACTGAGATTACAGGTGTGCACCACCATGCCTGATGGGGCATGTGTGCTTATATCTAAAGAATGGCAGGAAGGAGGAGGCTTGTGGAGAGCGCTTGCTTCTGCAGCATTTTCATAAATGGATTATAAACAGCTATTGATGGTGCTTCCTGGGAAAATGCAGAAGTTGAAAGAGTTCTGCAGCATCTTGTTATAATGAGATAATAATAATCTCTTGTGTTTAACAATTATGGATAAAGTGCCAGTAGACACAGTTTGGCTTTGTTCTCCTGTAGTGCATGTGAACATAGGAGGGTGCAGTATGCGATACCTGTGTGGAATGAGGTGGGCCTTTTGATGTTGTTTGTTGCTAGGTGTTTAAGGGTACACTGGTGCTGTTACAGGTCTGTGATCGCTGCTCTGGAGAAGCAGTGAAGAAGTAGGTATTGTTCAAAAGAAATGCTTGATGAGTGTCTCAGACGCGCCCTGAGTACAGTTACAGCGTGTTTGAAGTAGAGCTATTTTTAGATGCCAGTTACAAGGTGTTTTGTTTACTCAAGAATGAAGTAGAACTAGTTTTAAAACCTGCTTTTGTGGATGTCTATGATAGGTGGGTGCCCTAAGCTTGTGGGGAGGAAACCATGTTTCTAGGCATAAATAATAAATTTTACAATCTATTCTTGCGTAAGAGGGGCTCAAGTCTTGGGGCCACTGAGTTTGACATGGCTGAGATCTGCCGCATGGCAGAGGCCCAGTGCATGTAGCAACAGGGGCCACCAAGTCTGTACCAGTGAAGAAGCAAGCCCAAACCCCACGCGCTGGGGGTGGGTCAGGACGGGGATGTCTTCCCACTTCTCGGTGTGTCCTTGGCTGGCTCCATCAGGACAGGTGTTAGCTAATCGCTGTCTTGGCTCTCCACTGTACTAGGCATCTTGCACTTTCCAGTGAGCTCTTGGGGTGCACATGGATGCAAGTGTGGGTATGAGGCCAGGAGTCTTTTCTGCTATCAAAAAAATCAAATGTCGCCAGGCGCCAGTGGCTCACGCCTGTAATCCTAGCTACTCAGTAAGCTGAGGTCTGAGGATTGCGGTTCAAAGCCAGCCTGGGCAGGAAAGTTGTGACACTCTTATCTCCAGTTAACCACCAGAAAACTGGAAGTGGGGCTCAAGTGGTAGAGCGCTCGCTTTGAGTTGAAGAGCTCAGGGACAGCGCCCAAGCCCAGAGTTCAAGCCCCAGGACCGACAAAAAAAAAAAAAAAAAGTCAACTGTAAAGCAAACAAAATTGGTTTGTACATTAAGAGCTTTAAATGTTTTAACATTGCTTAGAATGATTTTCTAAGAATTCGTGTGGATAAAAATTCACAGTGCAGGGGGCAGCCCAGGCCAGCTGTGACAGAGCAGCCAGGCTTCGGGCAGCATAGCAGGTGCTGTGGAAGGGACCTACACTGCTGATGAGTCGTTTGTAGAGGAAACTTGGCTTTTAAAGTCTTTTCCATGTTTGTTTTTAAATTCCCACTTAGCTCTGAACATGGTCCCCTGTCCCTCCTTGCTTTCCTGCCTTCATCTCTCCCTGCCTTTCTCCCTTCTTGTCTTTCTTCTTTCTCTTCTTCTCTTACTCACCTCCCTCTCTTTTTCTCTCTTTCTCCATCTCTTTCCATCTTTCCCTTTCTCTCTGTCTTCAGCTTCATTCTCTGCTCCTACCATTAATTCCATGTAACCCAGACCACTGCTTTTGATTCCGGGCTCGTCTCAGACTAAATTACCAGTTGTTTTGACTGACTTTCTTAATGTTTGCCAAGGAAAAAGAGAGAATAATCTTGCCTCCTACCTAATTTAGCTTTGGGTCAGATGAATGAGTGGCTTTTCCTCTCTCTTCCTCTCAGTAGGACTTTTAAGCTTTTAAGTGGTAAAGAATGAGCTAAGCAGTTGGATTGAATTCTTCTTTGCCAGTACTCATTGGCTGCCAAAGACCCAGTCGGAGGCCTGAAGACTAAATTTGGCCAGATGCATACAGGGTTCCTTAATAGCTCTATTCAATTACTGGGGAGCCCTGTGTTATTTTCTCTTCACATCAGTTTCCCTCTGTACCTTTCCCCGCTTTGCCTTAGTATTTGGGAACTGGACTTAAAAGTTCAGCTGATTCTTGTCCCCACTGGTAGGTTAAATAAATGGAAAGCAGCAGGTAAATTTCCTCCAGAAAGGGCTCCCTAACCAGATAGGTCATGTTTTGAGCTTTGAACACCATTTGCTGTTGTTTTTCCTGTGGGAATGGCCAGGGCTATGTTCTGTTGTGATTTGGTTTACCACAGTAAGCTGTGGGCTGAATTGGGCCCTTTGCTGTGGTTTGCTGGCCTCTGCTCTGATATCGGATGGGTGGTTGGTGTTGGTGGCAGTCCCTTGCTGAGAGGGTGCAGAAAGTTGGAAAGGTCTGTAGGTAAGTGTGCCATATTCCTTTAAGAATCAGGCTGCTATTTATGACAGAGGTAAAGTGCCCTGTTTCCAGCATGTGTCAAGATCACTTCCTGGTGGGTACCTGAGCTATCTCTCTTTGTACCAGCTCCTGTTGGCCACTGGGCCAGCTGCCCAGATAACCTGTGTGGACAGAAGGACTCAACTGCCCTAACTGCTGGGCATTGGCTAACTGACCACTCACAGCCCACAGCCTTCTTCTGTGGCTCTGCCTCTTCCCAGGTCATACTCTTCCTGGGGAGGGGTAAAAGCTATATAACCTTTGCTCCTTGGAAACACAGGGCCCCACCCTACCTAACTCTGGACAGCTGTGAGAGTCTGTTGTGTGTCCTCATTGCAGCCCAGCACTGGCTTGCTTCCTTCCCTCGGCCTCCCCTCCTTGGCCTCCTCTCCATCTCCTTCCCAGGTGTTGATCCCACCAACACCCATGTACGTCCCCCAACCCCTGCGTTGCCCCCCTCCCCGCCTTCCACTGTGAACCTTCCTGCATGCCCCTTCTGCCTCCAGGGCTGCCCTGGACAGGGCTTCCTTGCACTTCTAGAAGTGTAGGGAGAAGTGGAGGAGGCGTTTGCTGTGTGGTGGAATGTGATGTCAAGCACAATAAATGCAAGTTAGGTAGGCTCCCTATTTATTCTCCATGTGCATTCGCTATTTATTCTAAATGTTGATTTTATGTGCTGATATTGAACTCATAACTAAATAAAAGTTTGAACTGTACCACCCGACTTGTTAAGTGGTTTGTTGCCTATGCTGACGTCATTGGCTAGGGAGTATTAGATTTTAGTGAGCCCACAGGGTCCTTTTCTAAACATGCCTTTCCCCAGGACTTGAGGTTATTTCTGCGAGAAGAAATAAGATTTGCACTTTAAAAAATAATAATGCCTCTGGACTTAAAAAAAAACCCCAACAATGCTCAGAGTACAGCTCAGTGATAGAGTGCAGGGGCAGTGTACAAGGCTCTGCGTTCACGTTTCAGAACTGCAAAACACTGTAATGGGCTCCCCAAAGGATATTCCGAGAGAAAGGGTCCAGAGATTCAGTGAGAGCACCACCTCCAGTAGGGGGCAGGTGGCCCTGGTGCAGTTCCACAGGGAGCAGCCCGCTGGGGACCTGGGAGAGGTGTGAGGCCACGTGCTTGTTTGTGGTCCGTTACCAGGAAAGCTGGGATTCAAAACAAAACGAAAAAAATCCAGATTTTTGTTGTTGTTGTTGTTCCTGTTGTTTCTTTTGTAAGCTGGTACTAGGGCTTGAACTTAAGGCTCACGTTTCTCGTTGGCTAAAAAGCTCAAGCCTGATGCTCTTATTACTTGAACCATACCTCCAGCTCTGGCTATTTTTGTTATTTCACTGGAGATAAGAGTCTCACATCTTTCCTGCCTGAGCTGGCCTCAAACCTTGATCCTCAGATCTCAGCCTCCTAAGTAACTAGGATTATAGGTGTGATCAATTAGCACCCAGCTTGGTTTTTGTGTTTTTTGTTTTTTTTTGGTCCGGTCATGGGGCCTGAACTCTGGGCCTGGGTGCTGTCCCTCAGCTCTTCAGCTCAAGGCTAGCGCTCTACCACTTGAGCCACAGTACCACTTCTGGCTTTTTTTTTTTTTTTTGCTTATGTGGTGCTGAGGAATCGAACCCAGGGCCTCATGCATGCAAAGCAAGCATTCTACCCCTGAGCCACCTTCCCAGCCCCCAGCTTGGTTTATTTTTACTTAGTTTTGTTAGGGAAAAAAAAGTCCTAGAGGCTTTGACAAAATATGCTCACTCTACACTTTTGATTTATTTTCTATGTAATAATTAACTTTCTTTTCTTTCTTTTTTTTTTTCCAGTCCTGAGGCTTGAACTCAGGGCCTGGGCACTATCCCTAAGCTTCTTTTGCTCAAGGCTAGCATGCTACCACTTGAGGCCCAGCACCACTTCTGGATCTTTCTGTTTATGTGGTACTGAGGATTCAAACTCAGGGCTTCATGAATACTAGGCAAGCACTCTACCAACTAAGCCACATTCCCAGCCCTGATCATTACTTTTCAATAAGATGGACAAAATAGAGTTTTATTGTAAAGGCTGGATAAGGAAAATTTATTGATGCCTAGAGAGTTATATTTTTTTGTGAGTATTTTTTAGTAGTATGTTTGCATGTTTGTATGTTTTGTTTATTTGAGAGGCTTGAACTTGATATTTTATTAGCTCTTCTACCCCAGCCCATGTAACTACTCAGTGTGTCTGGGCCTTACCTTTCTTCTTTAAGTGTGGTTGCATTAGTGTTTTTCAAGTTTCCCCTCCATTCCTAACCTTTCCTCCCTCTGCCCAACGATCTCTTGAATAAGTAGCATAGTTGGGCATGATGGCATATGCCTAAAATCCCAGCACTCGGGAGGCTGAGGCAGGAGAATGCAGAGTTTAAAGCCAGCCTAAGCTATATAATGCGAACCTATTTTGTCTTTTACATATAATGCCACGTTCGTGTATATTGTTGCACATAGTAGGACTTTTTTTTAAAAAGGATTAATTATATGAATGTATCACAGTTTGATCATTCATTTATCAGATGATAAGTCCCTTGTGTGTGTGTTACTGAGTACTGAATTCAGGTTATACTGTACTGTTATACTGTACTGCTTGAGCCATGCCCTAGTTTGTTTTTCAAATAGTCTTGTATTAACTTTGCCCCAGCTAATCTCAAACCAGGATCCTTTTACCTGAGTCTCTTTAGTAGCTGGTATTACAGGTACATACCACGACACCTGGTATTGATTCTACTTCTGTCTGTTAAGAATAATGATATTATGAACATGCATATGTAGGCTTTTGTGTGGATATTTTCATTTCTCATGGGCATATATACATAGGAGTGGGATTTCTGGGTCATATAGTAATCCTGTATGTAGCTTTGTGGGGGAACTGCCACAGTTTTCCATAGTAGCTGTACCATGTTACATTCTTACCAGCCAAGCATGAGGGTCCCAGTTTCTCTACATACTACTAATTATAGCCTTCTTAGTGGGTGTAGCATGGCATCTCATTGTGGGTATGTCCTTAATTTTGGTACCGGTTCTGGGGATTGAACTCAGGGCCTCTGAGCTTTTGTGTTCAAGACTAATACCAAACCACTTGAGCCACTGCTCCACTTTTGGCTTTTTTGGGGGGTAGCTAATTGGGGATAAGAATCTCATGGACTTTCCTACCCAGGCTGGCTTTGAACTGCAATCCTCAGATCTCAGCTTCCTGAGTGACTAGGATCATAGACATGAGCTACTGGCACCTGACTGGCTCTGTCTTTTTAAACACACAAGCAAGAAAACAAAACTGAATGAAGCAAGAAGAATTCATCAAGCAAGATATGATGGCTAATTGAAAATTAGCTCAAATAAATGGATTTTGTTTTCAATATTTGCTCCTTTCCTGGGATGGTGTTTTTGTTCCCTGAAATGCTCACTTTGTCTTGTTGATTTTTTTATTGAGCACATTGCACGTGCCAGGCATGGTGCTGGGATATGAGGCTGAGGGAGGCCAGTCCCTCGTCCTCAGGAGCTTACAATCTAGTAGGAAGTAAGACAGGATCTCAGTTGCTCATCATGTAGGGAAGAATGTAGAATCAGCTGAAGGTACAAAGATACACAGTAGAGGCTCAGAGGAGGGAAAAGTCCCCCTGGTAGACTTTGTAACAGCATCCCCCGCTCACTCACAGAATAACTCCCAAACCAAAGAAACGAGGTACAGCTTCTGAGAGCTTCTTTGTTAAAGATGCCCCAAGACCGTACATTCGTCAGAAGCATCTGGTGCTGAGGATTCACTGTGGAGCCTGGACCATGCTCTGGTGGCCCAGATGGCTGCCATGGCTGGCTGCTTCCCTCTGGCTCTCACAGTGCCCCTAAGGGGTCGCTGCTCTCCACCTGCTGTTCGTCAGCATCCTGGAAGAGACAGGGCAATGAAACAGTCACAGGGGGCACCCCAGAGCAGCAAAACACTTGCCAGGGAGCACATTTTCCCCTCCTAGGTTGAACCTTCTTTTAGCCCTCTGATCTGAGGGTTAAACCATGATTCTTCTGAGCACACAGGGTGGGAACGTTTGTCCAGGTGGCTGCTGCATGTCTGGAGGTGAGGTTGGGTGGTAGGGAGGACTGCTCATGGGGCCATGCTGGCTCTATTTGCTGTTGCCTGTGTGGTTTTCAACACAGGCTGCATAGTCTTTGCTTCCTATGGAGGTGTGAGGATTCTATTCTACATTTAGCCAGACAGGCACCCTGTGAAAGGTGGTGATTAATATGTGTATAAAAACTTCTTTCAGGTTAAGACATACATCCTGAGCCTGGCATACGGGTGGCTGGTGAGTTTTGAGAAGACTGCAAATAGAAGCCACACCCCACATCCCCAGCCTCCTGTCAGGATTCCTGTTACCAAAACATGTGTGCCACCTGGTCTGAACAGGTATAGCGGAATCCTGCTTCTACAATAGTCTATCTCAGGTCCGTGCACAGAGCTGATAGAGACCCCTTGGAGAAGAACACTTAGTTGAGAAGGCACAGAGCTCGTTTTCCCTCTGCTTTTTATTTTATTTATTTTTTATTTATTGTCCGGTCGTGGGGCCTGAACTCTGGGCCTGGGCGCTGTCCCTCAGCTCTTCAGCTCAAGGCTAGCACTCTACCACTTGAGCCACAGTGCCACTTCCGTTTTTTTCTTTTTGCTTATGTGGTGCTGAGGAATCGAACCCAGGGCCTTAGGCATTTAAGGCAAGTGCCCTACCACTGAGCCACCTTCCCAGCCCTTCCCTCTGCTTTTTAAAAGGATGCTGGTTTTAATATAATGAGGCTTGCAGAAGTAAACTCCTATTAGTTGATACATGCAGTTTAGCTGAACTCACCCTTGAAATCTAGATCACTTCTACACAGATTTAAACAAAGTAAAATTGATGATCTGGCTACTTCCCAAGGTATTGCAAAGATACTAAATCTGCTACTACAGGCAGAAAGAGCCACAGGGTATTCATGCTAGTTTACTTCAGGAAAATAATAATGCTGATTGCATTGTTATACAAGCTTAAAAATAGTGCAAGAAATCATTTTTGTCATCTTTTGTCGCCAATTTGTTAAATTTTAGTATCTAAAATATGGCTCTGGTGGGGACTAATACAGGTGTATGCCTGAGACGATCACAGCAGCTACCTGATTTGGTTAGTGTTGCATGAGGGTTAGATACACACAAGCCCCGATTCAAGTGTGTTTTCCTTGGCTTCAGGAAGGCTGGCTGCTGAGCCAGTCAAGCTAATAAAAAAGGACACTGGCTTTCAGTTTTCTGATTGTTACAGAAGAGGAAAAATTAAGGAACTAGAGGTATGTCTCAAGTGCTGTAGCTCTAGCCTTGAGACAACAAATGAAGTGAGAATATGAGGCCCTGAGTTCAAGCCCCAGTACTGACACACACACACGCACGCACACACACACACACACACACACACACACACTAATTAAGTTCATTTCCTTGGTCCAGAATAGGACTGGGGAACAGAATAGAATAGTTCTCAGTTCAGAATAGGAAGGAAGGAGTGGAGTTGTGGCTCAAGTATAGAGGGCCAGCCTTCATCAAAAGAGCTAAGGGACAACACCCAGTTCAGGCCCTACTACTGTCGTAAAAGAGGAAAGAGGAGAGGGAGGGAGAAGGAGAGAACTCATGGGCAAATGTATCTTTCACATTCAGGGTCTCCTGCCATGGGATCCCCTAGATGGAAGTCAGAGGAGGTCCCATTTAAGCTCAAGTATGAATTAACTCTAGAAATAAGTCCGCATTTCAGGAAGGACCAGAGCAGATTATCCACCTAGATATAAAAAGGTCCCATTAAGAAAAGTAGTTCCAGCCAGGCGCCCATGGCTTAGGCCTGTAATCCTAGCTACTCAGGAGGCTGAGATCTGAGTATTATGGTTCAAAGCCAGCCCAGGCTCAAAAGTCCATGTGACTCTTATCTCCAATAAACCACTCAGAAAACCAGGAGTGGCGCTGTGGCTCAAGTGGTAGAGTGCTAGCCTTGAGCTGAAGAGCTGAGGGATAGCGTTCAAGCCCAGAGTTCAAGCCCCACAATCGACAAAAATAAATAAAATAAATAAAATAAAATAAAAGTAGTTCCCAAAGCAAGAAGCAGTCTGCCAGCAGGTAGAGAAACCTATGTGCGTATAAGTTTTAAAAAAGGATAGCTGAAAGAAAAACCCTTCTTAGAAGGCCTTGTGTCTTGTTTTGCACCTGCCACCTCATAAATGTTAGCGTTTTTAGCGGTATTTCTGCTCAAGAATGTCACTTCACTTTGTTGTGACACTAACTGGTCATGACATTGGGGGCAGGAAGCTCTTAGTCCTTTACTTTGATTGTGCATGACTTCTGCGGTCTCCTCAGAAGAACCCTGAGATGTACAGAATAGGTGCTTTTGGACCCACCTGAACCCCAAACCTGATGCAAGAGCCAACTCACCATGAAGGGATCGTAGGAAGGTTCTGAGGGTTCCGAGGTTGCGCTCTCATACGTGGGGTTCGAGATATTCTCAGACTGCTGCCTGCCAAAAGCTGCAACATCGATGTCCTCTTCTGACTGCTCAGAGAGATGAGCACAGGGGCTGAGAGCCAGTACTGACTTCAGCAAGCCAGCCTCTGCCTCTGGGAATTTTGTCCTATTATGCACTGGAATTTGAAGGCAGAGCCTCCTATTTGCTAGGCAAGTGCTCTACCATTGTGCCATTCCCATAGCCCTTTTGCTTTTTTTCTTTCCTTTTCTTCCAGATAGGGTCTTTTGCCCAGTCTGGCCTGGGACTGTGATCCTGTGATCACAGACTGTGATCCTTCTATTTCCATTTCTGTCCATGTATTTATTGTAGGCTTAGGCCTTAGTCCATGCTATTCCTGGGAAGAGGAAGTTTGGTTATTGGGACTGGGCCCCTGAGGGAGATATCGAAGCCCTGGCTTCTCCTCATCCTTTCTTTCTTTTTGCTTCTAGTCACCAAGGTGAGCAATTTCCCTACCACATGCTCCTGCCTTACTGCCTTACCACAGGCCCAAGGCCATGGCGCCATGGACTGAAACCTCAGAAATCAGGAGACAAATGAGTGTTTTTTTCCCCATGTAAGTTGTAGTGATCTCATTTTTTTTTTTATTGTCACAGTAATGGAAAGTGACTGACACACAGGTCACTTGATGGCCAGCTTGCTGTTGACCTGAGAGGCACTCAACCATGCGAACAGAGCAGAACAATTCTAAGCCTCCTGTAATGTGAGGGCCTGTGGTGGTGTCGAGCCTTAGGGACAAGTCCTGCAGTGCAAGTCCATCCTGGTGGATACTTGCCTGAAAAACCTTCCCAGGAGAGTGGGCCTCCTCAGATGAATGGTGACTCCATGGGACTCTGGTGAATCTGTCTCAAGCCAAACCCCTGGCACAGAGGCTGGGGGTGGGGGAGGGGTGGGAGGCAGCTTATGCCTAGGAGCTCTTACTCCTTACCAAACTCTGCCTCAGCAAGGAAGAGAGGCTTGGATCTGCCATCGTAGGTCATCTAGGGGAAGAGACTCCACCCAGAAGGCAGGAGCCAAGGGGCAGGATGGCCACCTTTGCTGGTGTACCAAGTACTGGCTTCTGAGTGAGGCCCTGGGTCGGTAGAGGTAGCCCAGACCCCATGTGGTTTGTCCCTTCCTGAGCACACTGTGAAATGTGATCACTATTGTTGGAGGAAATTTTTTTTTTTTCTGTGGGTCGTGGGGCCTGAACTCTGGGTCTGGACACTGTCCCTCAGCTCTTCAGCTCAAGGCGAGTGCTCTACCACTTGAGCCACTGCTCCACTTCAGCTTTTTCTGCTTATGTAGTGCTGAGGACTCGAACTCAGGGCCTCATGCATGCAAAGCAAGCACTCTACCACTGAGCCACCTTCCCAGCCCAGGGGTTTTTGTTTTTTTAAAGAAGCGATTAGGTTATTCAAAGAAGTGAATGCCTTGTAATAAGTTCGTACTCTTGCAGGACTAAGTGAGTTTCCACGTTGGGGTGGGGTGTCAGAAAGGGAGGTGTCTCTGCTGCTTTGCTTCTTTTGCAGCTTTCCTCCCCAGCTGGAGCAGCACAAGGCCCTGACTGGTAGCTGAGAAGATGCAAGCTCCCAGCTCCTGCACTTGTGAGACGCCCACCAGAACTGTAAGTCTAAGTCTTTCTTTGTTGTTAAATACATCACCCAGCCAATCCATCACTGGGTTGATCGTAACAGCCCGGGTTACTATCACTATCTGTGAGAAAACAGGAGATGAACTAAGGCAACACCTGTGATTGTGTCCCCACTTTTCTTACCTCAAAATGCTGGAAGCCAATTGTTCTCCAGTTTAGCCGGAAGTAAGAATAGGCAGCCAGAGCAATTGCTGCGATGACCAGGATGATGGTGAAGGAAATCCCGGTTCCCAAGCCAGAGTGAGTCTGGATGCAGAAAAGAGAGAGGTCATTTTGGGAAGCAGATTCTTCCAGAGAGGTGCACTTCTGAAGTTCACCTGCTCTTGCTGATCCCAGGCATCTTGGTGTAACTGAGAGAAAAACTGATGGTAAGGTAATATGTATCCACCCCCCCCCACCCCCAATATTGGCAGGGTTGTTCTAAACCCTTTAACTGAAATAACCCCATTTAAGTGTTACAGTAGTTCAAAGACAGGGAAATTCTGATTGTTTCCTTTCTTATGCTGGTAAACTGGGGTACAGAGAGGTTAAGCACTTACCCAGGATCACACAGACCTAGTCTGGCTTTGGAGCTGATGTGCCTAACTACTATGTTATGGAGCCTTCCGGCAGCTAGCAGTTTACCCTCTCCTTCCTGCTTCTGGGAAACAATTAGAATACTAACAACAACAGTGACAGCCAACTTTTGAGAGCCTGTCCTATGTGCCAGGAACTTTGTATTTTATAGTTTTGGGCTCAGTTCTTTTCAAAGAAGGAGCCCCAATGTTGCTGATGAGGAAGTTGGAGCTCCCAGGTAGCGCAGAGTGGAGAAGCCATTGCAGAGCTCCTTTGGCTCCTTGTGGTCATCCTTCCTCAACCTGGTGGCAGGTGCTGGGTTGCAGACCAGCCAGGGTGGAGCATCCTGAAAGCCAGCCCCCACCAGCGGGGCGGGAGGTTCTCTAATCCTGATAGGAGGGAGCTGGTGGAGAAGGCTTCCAGTAGCAGCTTAGACAGTAGAATTAGGTTCTTTCCCTCACAGTGAAACTTGGATACTCACTGCTGGGGCAGGAGGTGCTTTTAGAGGCTTGGAAATGACATGGATGATCCCATTGGAGGCAAAGATATCCCACTGCAAAATGGTTCTTCCATCCACAAACCGGGTCTCCTAGGGAAATGAGAAGGGAATAGCTGTACACCTGTGACCATCCCGGCCTTCTTTCCACATGGCAGCCCTTCGGTTCGGCTTCCTTGAGGCCCAGAACCTAGGTATCAGTCCTGTCTTCACTATCTGTTCAGCCCAGAACATGCTGGTTGTTCTTAAACCTCCAACAAGCAGATCTAAGGGCAGCAGAGATCTCATTGCTGCAACCCTCTTGTAAGACACATGAGCTACTAGAAGAAAAATGGTATGTTCAGGGTCACCAAGATAGTAAGTGGTACCCCTCCACTGAGTCATTATCACTCATTATCACTGTCATCACTACCACCATCACCATTATCATCATCATCATTACCACCATCATCACTGTCATTACCATCAACATCATCACTGCCAGCCTCACCATGATCTTCACTATCATAATCACCATCACCATTGGTCAATGCCCTCATCCACACCATCATTACCACCACCTTCATCATCACAGTCATCACAGCAGCAGCGATCGCCATCATCGTTAACATCATCAGCACAGTTCTCATCATCATAATCACCATCATCGCCGTCACTATCATCGATATCACCACCACCCATCACCACTACCACCACCATCATCTCTGAAGGGGTTCAGAGATGCCACTTAAAGATATATGTTAGGCATGTTGAATTTCTTTTCTGGTTGAAGGCACTTGAGGAATAAAAGATTCTCTGACCTCCTGCTTTCTGTCTAAAAGCAGGTCATAGAATTTACTAAGGAAGAGGGGGCTCTTGCTCTCCTAGGAAGAGTAGAATGTTCTTATCACCAGTGACCAAGAGCTGATGTCAGAATCTGTCTGTACAAACCATTGGTTTTTACTGTGACTTCTAGTTATGGTTCTACAATTTGCTCTTAGCAAACTATTTTGTAACTTCTTCACATACATTTTATTTTTGGTTGTTCATTTGTTTGAAAAGTATTTAAACTTGCTGGGCACTGGTGGCTCACAGCTGTGATCCTAGCTACTCAGGAGGCTGAGATCTGAGGATGAGGGTTCAAAGCCAGCCTGGGCAGGAAAGTCCATGAGACTCTTCTCTTCAGTTAACCACCAGAAAACCAGAAGTGGCACTGTGGCTCAAAATAGTAAATCACTAGCCTTGAGTGAGAAGACCTCACAGACTGTGCCCAGGGCCTGAGTTCAAGCCCCATGACTGACAAAAAAAATATTTAAACTGTCAGTCTTTACTTCTTCTTAGGGTCTTTGTGTGTGTGTAAGGATGGCCTTATACACATAAAATACTAAGTAGATTTTGTACACTTTTCTACTGTGGATTTTTCTTATGCTAGTGTAATTTTAAGACTCAGTCATGGACTTTAAGAGTCTAGAAGGAAGTTTCCCTGTCTACCATTACCACGATTAAATTAACCACCATCACCTTCACTGTCATTAATACCTTCATCACAATCCCCACTTAACAGATGAGGAGCACAGAGGAGTTAGATAACTGTCTTAGTTCTTCCAGCTAACAAGTGGCAGATGCATGAATTCACATCGGGTCCATTTGATTGCAAAGCTATCCTGTCAATGTCTGGGATAGACTGACAAGCTGACAGAAACCAAGCTAGAGAACAAACAGCTTTGCTTGCAGTGGTTTAATTTCTCATTCTCATTACCAGCTTCTGAAGCTGGGTTCCTTGCCCAGTGTAGGGACTGTTTGCCTTTATGGTACCTATGGATTTAGAGTGTACTCTCATATACTAGTTTTCTTCCATTAGGCACCAATTGCATGCCAGGGCCTTTGGTTGGATTATATTCAGGCTGTTTTCCCAATAAGCCATGTGGAGGGCTGGCCATGTGGTGGGTTGTTCCCTGATAAATTACTCCATATTATGTAGAAGAGCTTTCAGCCTCTGCCTTGGACTCAGTGACTCTACTTTACAAAACAGCAGTTTGCTTTATTTGGAATGCAAATGCTAAGGTAGAATGTCTTTACATCTTATTTATGCAAATAAACAACCACCATCTGTCCGGTACAATCCATGAGGCTCGGACTGGTAAATGACTTATTTATGCAAATAAGATATTACTGCCTATGGAAAGCTCACCCAGAGCAACACCTAGCAGGGATAGAAAGGCATCCACAGCCCGTCATGGGATCGCCCAGTACGCACAGCACAGGATAAACAGGTGACAAATTCTCAGCTGCGTTCCTAGGGCTGCAGCTCAGCTTGATCCCCCTGATGGATACAGCCCACTTGAATGGCCATTTGGAACTAGGTTTGTGCCTAGAACCAGCTCTGCACTTTAGTAGTCTCGTGCCAGGGTGGCTCCGTGACCCAGTTCATTATGTTGGTATGTAGCTACCTGCAGTGACTTTGCATCAGTATCAGCGCTCTGTACTCTTGCCTTCAATAAGGCCCCTTAGTCCAAGCTTTAACTCTTTATGATTCAGTTGCTGGTATCTACACTTCAGACTAAAGTATCTGAAGCAAGGGGCTGGTGGCTCCCCTTTGTAATCCTAGCTACCCAGGAGCCTGAGATTGGAGGATTTTACAATTTAAAGCCAGCTTTGACAGGCAAGTCCATGCAACTGTCATTTTCAATTAACTATCATCAAGAAGAAAAAAAAGGAAGTAGGGGTGTGGCTCAAATGGTAGAGTGCCATCCTTGAATGATAATGCTAAGAGACAGTACCCAGGCCCAGTGTTCAAGCCCCAGTAACAGCATATACACACAAAAATCTGTCTCTGCAACACTGCTGTGCCACAAATTACTCCAAAACAGTGGCAACACAGAGATGACATATGCGCTAACCACCTGTTACATCTGATGTTGGCATGCTCTGATCTAAGACCAGTCATGAGTGACTGTAGGTTAGATCTGCACAGGGCTGCCCTAGCACGCTAGCCTGGGCAGGAGAGTCTTTCTGTCACCTTATGTATGATTATGTGAAACAGGATGTGTGATCTGATAGTTCATATTGCAAATTAAAATGCAAATAGAAGAGCCTGTGTTTACCAGTGGCCACAAATACCAAGTGAAGTCAGTAGTACTTTGGTCAATTGAAGCCAATGAATTTGAATTTGACATAGCTGGTGAATTTATTGTTAGCCAATACACTGTGGAAAGACACAAAAGGGTCTGTCTCTGACATAGCTTGCTTATGACAGCCAAGATTTCCTACCTGTTGGAGCTGGTCCTGGCTGGTAGTGATGAGTAGCTGGCTTCCCAGCCTTGTCTGCAGGATGGTACCATTGACAAGGTCATTGTAGAACGTGATGTTGACATTGGCCAGGTGATGCTCAATGTCCCGCCCAGACAGCGTCTGAGAGGAGAGGAGAAACGTAAGAATGTTTGGGGGGTGTGTTTTGAGGCTGAAAAATACCAAGGAAAATACCAAATTTTTCTTGGGCATTGTTAGGCCTTGCAAAAGCTCTCCTATAGCTACGATGCGGGGCTGACTGTCATCTGTATTGTCTAAAGCAAAGCTTTTAGGTGCTTCCCTAGAAAGAGGAGGTCCGGGCTGAGTACCAGGCAGACAGACCCTCAGATAGCTGGCTAGGGCCTGGGAAGTTGGAATAAATCCTGTTCTGTCTGCCACCTCAAGGTTGATGTCAGTGGACTGACAGTATCAATGACCCCTGTTCTTTACCCTTTCATTCTCTCCGCCCATGTAACTCTGCTTCCTACTCTTATATTAATATATATATATATATATTTATAATTTTTCTTTGAGTAATTGTACAGAGGAGTTGTCACTCAACAGAGCAGTGTCTGACTACAGTGCCTCTTGATCAATGTTACCCCTTTCAACATTCTCACCCACCCCTCCTAACGCCATCCCCCTCCCTCCCTTTTCTTAATTTGTAGGTTCTGTATTCAGTGTTCGTCATGTAACAAAGCTATTTATGTATACAGTGCATCTTGATCTGTGCCATCCCTTCAACATCTCCATCCCCCACCCTCTTTGCCCTTACTCTTCCCAGTTCTGTGGCGTATACTGTGCATTCTCGTGTGCCTTCAAGTCATTTCCCCCACTCATTCTTCTGCTTCTCTCCTCTTGTCCCACCTCCCTGGCTGGTATGTACCCTACTCTCACTCTGACTTAGTCATGCGACCTGTTTGTTGGCCAGTGGCGTGTTAGCAAACATGACCAGAGGTTTGAAAAGCACGAGTGAGATTTGAGTTTGCATTTGCCACTCTTGCTCCTGGCCATCTTCATGAGAACGTGCCTGGGCTAGCCTGCTGGGGCCTAAGAGCCCCGTGGCGCTGACCCGCCAAGACTCCAAGGCTGGTCTCAGATTGGAACGTGCCTAGACCAGAAGTAGCAGAGGGTTGGCCGATATGTGAACAATGAAATTGTGTGGCCACTGCATTCGGGGTCATTGGTGACGCAGCATGATGGTGGTGCTGGGGAACTCATCCCAGTGTGAAGTGTGGGCACTGGTGGACTTGACTCACCTCATTTTCCTGCAGCCCGCTGTTTTGTGGCACAAAGAGGGTCCCGTGGATGGATAGGTCTGTCAGGTGTTTCAGAAATGCCTGGCCTTTGGCTGAGCTGTTGGAATAAGCCAGCACTTTCTGGAGAGAAGAAGGAAGCTGTCAGCGAGACCAGTCCTAGTGTGTGAACTGGGATACAGTAGAAATTAGGCAGTGCCCCTCACATTATAGAGATCAATCATTTTCAGGCTGTGCCTTGGCTTTAGGAAACAGCAGTTTGCTTCATTTTGAGTGCAATGGCGGAAGCAGAATGACTCTATATCTTGTTTGTACAAGTAAACAGCCACCATCTGTCTAGTATGAACCGTAAGGGACTTATTTATGCAAATAGAACATTACCACCTATGAACAGCACATCACTACCTGGGCATATCAAACTCATTATCAGGAAAATCAGGTGGTGAGCTTATGAAACACACCTGACCAACCTTCTCACCCGCATCATCTTAAAGAAGGAGTGTTAAGTTCTAACACTCCTAAGGCACACTCCTAGAGTACCTAACACTGGCTTACAGGAAATCTAGGAACTGCCATCAGATCATGGGTTTGAATCCCAACTCTGTTCTTGGGGTTTCAGCTCAGCATGCTCGGTCCCCTCCCCCATCACCCCGCTTAACAAGACCCACTAAGAACCAGTTCTGCACCTAGAACTGGCGTCGTGTCTGGAAGCAGCTCCGTGCTGTGGCAGCTAGTGTCAGATCAGCTCTGCAATTGGCTTCATTATGCTCCATCTGTATCTGCTCTCAGCTCTTGCCATTTAAAAGACGCTTATAAACCCTGCAACTGCTGCAACCCTTTCCTAGGCATTTGTGTAAAGTAGAACGTGTGGTCTGAGAGTCAGTATCAGTGCTTAACTTGAAATAGAAGAAACCGTGTTTGCCAATAGCCCGAATACCAGGTGAAAACAGTAGAACTTGGCAAAACTGACCTCACCTGTGAATTTCTTGTTAGTCAACACATGCTGGCATTGTGAGAAGATGCAAACATGTTTGCTTAGGTTTCTCACGTAGCTTGCTCGTGACAGGTGTCTGGAAAGGCTCATGGGAATTTGTGATTTTAGCCTCAAGTCTTTGCTGTTTCTTGTTGCTGTCTCTTGGGAGAGTTTTAGGAGGCCTTTTCCTTTCCTTGAAGAATCCTATGATCCTAGACCAGTCTCAGCCTGATGGATTTGTTTGTTTCTCTCTACTCCCAGCTTGACATGTTCTTTTCCACTCTAGTATGTATTTGTTTGTTCTGTTTATGATCTGTTTTGTTCCCTGATATACCTCATCACCTTGTAAGTACTTGATAAACATTTAGTGAACACGTTTGAAGTTCTACTCTTTCCTTGCACGGACAGACAGGGCCACCGAGGCCCAGTTCTAGAAGGTAAGTAATTTACTGGAATTGTGTTCTAATACTGCCTTCGCTCTGAAATGCTGTCATAAGCCAAGCAGCAGACATGTTGGTTTTAGCGTTTATCTTTGGTGTATTCATGGAGACTTGAGATTTTTACACCAGTTAGGTGGCTGCCTCTCCTTTGTAGAAAAAGGGGTTTGTACTTTGGAGTCCTTGGTGCCCCTTCTGCCCTGGTCCTGCCAGCCCTGCTCTGATGACCAGCATCCTCTTCTCTTGGGATCACTGGCCATTCTGCTAGGGACAGTGGCTCAGCCACTGGCTGCCTCCGTTCCTCCCCATAAAAGATGACAAGGAGGCTGGCACCAGGTAGGTTTGGATTTGAGCCCCATCTGGGATGTTAGGCTGCATCCGTGACCTTTCTAAGCCTCAGTTTCTTCATCTAAAACACTGGGAATGATAGAAGTTACCATATAAATTTGCATACTTCTAGCAAAGTATTTGTTGGGTAGCTATTAGTGCAGTGTTCTGTCTGAGATGTTGGAGAAACAGTGGCGGTGAAGGCAGGGAAATTTCTTATGGAGCTTTTATAGTCCATTGCCCAAAGGAAATAGCCTTGAAAGGGCTCGGCACAGAGCCCAGGGCAAGGTATAAAGCTCAGGAAATGTTAGCTGTCATTAATTATTATTTGTTTGTTTCTGTGATTAGTCAAATGGAGCTTTCTCTTCATGGGACATAACTTGGAGATTATTGATGTGCTTAAGTGTGGTACAAAAGGCTGGCTGTCTCTATGTTACTTTGACTGTCTGGGTGATCACCTGGTAGACCTAGCTAACCGTGCCTACCCTGCCCATGAAAACAAGATTCACAGCCAGGCTAGAGACTCTAGCTGCAAGCCCAAGTCACAAGACCAGCCAACATCATTGTAGAATTTTCTCTGTGTGGACCACATGGTCTAAATGCTTCATACACGTCAACTCATTTAACAATCACAATAATCCTATGTGGCTAGTGATGCTATTTTACAGATGAGAAAACAGGTTCAGGGAGGAAGCCCTCTGCTTAAAGTTGGGCAACAGATGAATGGCAAAGCCAGGGCTCAGATAAAAACGAGGTGAGCTGTGAGCCTCTGGCTTCCTTTAACACCCCTTTAACAGCAGTTCAGAACCAACCCTCTAGGCTCAATACAGAAGCAAGAGGTGTGATCATACCGTCAGGAAGTTCGTGAGCGAGGGGAAGGTCATCAGGACCTGCAGTAGGTTCCCACTGCAGGAGAAGCCATCTCCCACATAGCCTTCCTTGCAGGTGCAGTTGACATCTGGGAAACAGAGGCACATAAGCTCCCACCATAGCGAGTCAGGGGCCTGGGCCACGCTGCTCACCCATTGGCTGGCCAGGCTGAGGATGGCTCAGCCCCTGCATGGCCTTCAGCCTGAAGTGTAGCCCCGGGGTGGTTACCTTTCATCCGATAGCAGAAGACATCCCACATTTCACTCTTGTTGACCCTGGGACCGTAATCCACTATCCCAACAAAACCAGAGCCGCATTTCATAGAGGCATAGGCCGTGGGATAGGCCACCCACCCACCGTCTAGCCAACCAGCTGAACAGAGGTGATAGCTGGCCTGCAAGGGACACAGACACAAATACAGATGAGCTGAACGTTCATGTTTGCTGCAGAATCACTGGGCTAGTTCCTCATTCTCCAATCGAACCGGAAGCTCCAAAGAGCCAAGTCCCATTTTGCCTGTTGTCCTCCTGTGCCTAGAACACATTAGGTGGTCACACTATTTTTTTTAATGACACCATGGAATGCATAACTACAGAGCCCTTTGTTTCTTGTAGGTATCCAAGTCCTTCATATGCTCTCCTCTGGGCTCTTGAGAAAGATTGGTTATTAGTCACTTATTTATAAACCTCTAGGACAAACTCTTCTGCTCATGAGATAACAAAACTTCAATTGGTGCTAGAACTCTAATGTATCATTGTTGCCATTTTTTTTCCATGAACATCATTGTCACCATTACCATCATCATTACCATCACTACTGTGATACCACCGCTGTCATCCTGACCTTTAGTAGTGTATTTGGATCCAGGTTCTCTTGCAAGGGCTTTTTCTGTGTTAGTATGTTTTACCATCACATCGACTCTATGAAGTTGGAAATTCTTTTTTTTTTTTTTTGAGGTTGGAAATTCTTATCATATAATTGAGATAACTGAAGTAATTGAGACAAAGAGAAGGTAAGCAACTTGTTAAAAAAAATTTGCAGGTCAGCAAGTAGCAGGTTCAAACCAAGCAGCTTATTCCAGATCAGTTATCTTAATAAAACTTGATTAGTGAGTTCCTGCTCACACATTTTGGGCCATGTGATCTTTGCTCCTTGGACAAACAGGTCAGGAAGGACAGATTTCAATGGCTTGTTCAAAGCAAGGAGGAGAGCAGAGGTTCAGAACCTCCAAGCCTCTCAGTCCTTACACAGAAGGATTTGTTCTTTGGTCAAGAATTTGAGGTCTGAAATAGAGAGGTTTGGTGGTGGTAGAGAGAGTACCCCCAACTCAGACCTGGGGAGGTTTTCTGGTTTCAGAGGCTAGGAGTGCATCCCTGACCAGAGCCCCTCAATTCCTCCCTGCTAGGGGAGGAAGCCTGCGCTGGCTCCATGTGTTTCCTTCATCACCCGAGTAGCCCCAGGGTTCTGAGAATTCCAGAGACCCTCAACTGCTTTGTGTTCTGGGAGGTCCTCCTGGGCATTTGGCTATTGATGGTTCCATTTCCCCAGCATGAGTTATATGCTTCCTGTCTCTGTCTCTGCTTTGACAGGTGGATTCTTAAGGTTGAGAATAGACTTTTGAAGTCAGAGCTGTATGTGAAAATTAGATCGGTCACCTCTTAGCTGAGTGACACTGGCTATTTTATTTAACCTTAGAAATTCTTGTTTTCTCTGTCTGACAAATGAGGGCAGTGAGTCTTACCTACAGGGCTGTCATGAGGGTGGATAGTCATGTCAATGAAGCACCTTACCCAGTGCCTGCTACACAGCAAAAGCCTGGCACTGAACATGGTGAATTATTATTATTGCTCCATGAGCTTCCTGGATTAACTCCGGGAAGGCAGAAAGCTTTCTTCCCCATCTTAAGAAGAGGCTCCCTCCACTGTCTGTGTACCAGGGACTCACCTTCTGGGCATAGGAGAGCTGGGCGTAGGTGGCCAGGGCTGCGGCTTCATTGGCACAGGCCTCTTTAGCCTTGTCAAAGGTCAACTTGTATTGGCCCAGTGGGGACCGGAGATGGAACACCCCAACAGTGGTGTCTGGAGAGGAGGGAGAGGAATCACCTACTAGCTCACATAGTTGGCAGTGCTTCCAAACAAAGGATTTCAAGATTCATAGAGGAATCCTGCCAGTGAATGATCCACCAGCTGTGTGGATTTCCTCCTGTGAATGAGCTATGAGAGCAGGCGACTGACCAGATGAACTGACTAGATGACTTCACACTCCTAATCACCTGATCCAAGGTGCTCACTTCTGTGCACCCCCCCCCCCTCCCAGTAGCTGCCTATAAAATCTCTCTACCTGGAAGTTCTGTCGTTAATGTGAATGTAACATGCCCCTAATCAGGCTGTCTTGTCCAATCATTCTGGCCCAGCAGCACTGGTGTGTTGGCTCTTTCAGGATGGAAACCTTGGCTGATGGGGGAGGGGAGCCTTTCCTTTTGTTTAGGCTTCTGTCCATTGTTGTTTTTTTCCTCCCTCATCTCCATCCCCTGCTCAGTACAGAACCCGATACCATGTGGTCACAGCCTTGATACCACGCCCTGCCTCTTCCCACCATCTCATCCTTCCCTCAGCAACTCTGTTTGGCCCAGTTTAAGCATCTATAAGGTCTCTACTGTAGCCCCTGGCCTCCATCTAATGCCTTCTGGACTTCCTTTTCTTGCCTTGAGACTTTTCCTTTTCAGATTTTTAAAAAAAATTTGTCATGACAAAGTATGTCATCATTTTAAGTGTATAACTCTGTGTGTGTGTGTGTGTGTGTGTGTGTGCGCGCGCGCGCGCCCGCTGGAGCATGAACTCAAGGCCAGGTGTTATCCTTCAGATTATTCTTTTTTTGGGGGGGGTCTGGTTGTGAGGCCTGAACTCTGGGCCTGGGCACTGTCCCTCAGCTCTTCAGCTCAAGGCTAGCGCTCTACTACTTGAGCCACAGGCTCACTTCTGGCTTTTTTCTTTTTGCTTATGTGGTGGTGAAGAATCGAACCCAGGGCTTCAGGCATGCAAGGCAAGCGCTCTACCACTGAGCCACCTTCCCAGCCCCTCCTTCAGATTATTCTGCTCAAGGCTTGCCCCACTTGAGCCATACTTCCAATTTCTGCTTTTTTTGTTTACATTAGATATCACTTTAATATCTTACTTGCTAACATTTTATCCCTGGGAATGTTTATTAGTGTTTTACATAATGAATACTTGATTAGATTTATTATGCTTGTTGATTTCTCTCCTTACACTGCTTCTTTCATCCCACTCCTTCATTAACATAAATGTCTAACCTTCTTCCTGAATTGTCTCTTAATCATTCCTAATTTCTGCTTTTTTTATTTTCCTGCTTGTTAATTGGTGACAAAAGTCTTCCCAACTCTTCTGTCCTGGCTAGCTTCAAACCACAACCCTCAGATCTTAGCCTCTTCAGTAGCTAGGATTACAGGTGTGAGCCACCACTAGTGGCTAGCCAAGTATATAACTCTTAACTATATGTGCACAGTTGGATGGCCACTACACTGCCCATTTCTAGTACATCACCATCATCCCAAACGGAAACTCTGTGCCCATTAGACAATACTTTCCCAATCTCCCTCTGTCCCCTGTCCTTCTATTCCATTTTCTGTCCCTGTCTATTCCATCGCATGCTGAGCCATGTAGTGTCTGGTTCATTTCTCTTAGTACATTGTTTGCAAGGGTGAACCATGCTGCAGTGTATATTTCATATCCTCTCAAGGCTGAATAATATTCCATTGTGTGAATGTACTGAATTTTGTTTATCCACAGAGAGGCCCTGGGTTGTTTTTATCTTTTTGCTATTGTGAATAAATCTGGTGTGAATGCAAGTTCACACATAGCTGAGTTCCTTTTGTGAATTCTCTGACTATTCTTGCCTTTTCATTTCAACTGCCAAGAGCACGCAACACATTTCCGACTTCTGTGTTACAACTTTTTCCCCTCTTTGTCTTTTAAAAAAGTCTCTTAACTACCCAGGGACTCTGGAAGGAATGTCTTCCATGCTCTCTGTATGTTTTCTCAGTATACTTCCTCTAGTTCATCCTGGAAGGGTTTGAGATGTGTCACAGAGTTAAGTCATTAGTTGTTATTGAGATATGATCATATCTAAAGAACAAGGCCAAGTCCACTCAGAGATCCCTACAAATACTGGCTGGCCACACAGGGCAGTGCCCCAAGATGCTTTCAAAGATTCTGAAGTTTATGTTCGGTCTGGCCCTGGATCCCTTAAAGCTTTCTTTCATCTGTCTCCTGGGCCTCTGCATTTCCATGTGAGGCCTTGTGCCTTTCTTGTGTTTGTTTATTACAAGCCATCCATACCATCCTTGGGAAGATGTGGACATATGCCAATCAATACGTGACCATCCTGACAATGGTTAAGAAATTGCTTCTGCAGTGACTCTGAAATAGCCAGAGCTGTGCTTCTTGGATTTACATGAATTTCCAGCCAATAGCAGTAAGGCTGGTTGCTAAGCAATAGGAGTAAAGCAAGCAGGGAGCAAACTCATGACAGACACCCTCTGAACTCCTAACAGCTCAAGGACCGACTGGGAGTTGCCTGTGCCTCTCAGCTCCCTCCCTTGGTCTGCGCAATGCAGAGACTCCTGGGCTCAGTGTTGTTTTGTCTTGCTTTCTCTTCTTGCGCAGGCCCTTTCCCCAAGAAAGGTGCTTTGTCCCAGCCACACTGACCCTGGAAGTGGAGGTCGGCACAGTGGGCATCTGCGTGGCACTGCCCATTGTCCTGTAAGCAGCGGTCCAGGGGCAATTGCTCTGGCTCACAGTTCAGCCCGTCTCCCACGTAGTGGTCCTTACATCGACACTTGTGCCTGCCCTGTGGGAAGAAGGTGGGGGGAAAGATGGAAAAACCTTCTCCATGATCCTGAGTGCTAGGAAGATGTCCACTCAGCATGGGAGGGGTTTTGAAGGACCAAGCAAAGCACCCCTGTCTGCTCAGTGGGAATGCAATGACATCTTTGTCTTGCTTTTGCACAGGGTGATGATGAAACATGGGCATCCATTTTTCCTTTTTGTTCCTGGGGCTTGAACTTGGACCCTGAGCGCTGTCCCTGAGCTGTTTTTTTGTTCGAGACTAGCGTTCTACCACTTTGAACCACAGCTCCACCTGGTGGTTAATTGGAGGTAAGAATCTTATGGACTTTCCTGCCCAGGTTATCTTTAAACTGCATTCCAGAGATCTCAGCGTCCTGAGTAACTAGGATTATAAGCATGTGCCACTAGCAACGGACTAGGGGAATCCTTTTATCTCAGCATGTGAGTTGTTCTCCTCAGAGGGCCTCTCCCTGAGCCCCACCCACACGAGCTCCCAAGGTCTCTGCTCTCCACAGTTCTTTAGTCCTCCTGATTCTGAATTGAGCACCACCCTTTCTCTCTACTCACCCAGGTCTGTTTGTCTTCTCATCGCAGAATTGCTGGCAACTGCAACAGCCTATGACAAGTGCTCCTCCACCACTGGTTGGGTCAATGAATGACCCCATTTAACCCCCACAATGACCCTGTGATATCTGCATTATCACTAGGCCCACTTTACAAATAAAGACACTGAGGCTCAGAGACATTAAGTAGCCAAGCCCAGGCCAAACAGGCCCTAAGTTCAAAAGCTCAGTCTCAAAGGCAGCCTAACTCTAGGTCCTTGTTTGCACAATAACAAATATTGTCTTCTACTACCTGCTCTTCCCACCAGGGAAATAGGGACCTGATCTTCTTCTAGAAAAATGCAGAGTGTGGGCTGGGAATGTGGCTTAGTAGTAGAGTGCTTGCCTAGCATGCATAAAGCCCTGGATTCACAAACTGAAAAAGCCAGAAGTTATGCTGTGGCTCAAGTGGTTGAGTGCTAGCCCTGAGCCTGAGTTCAAGTCCAGGACTGGTTAAAAAAAAAAAAGCAGAGTGCCACCTTTTATGTGTCTTATATGCTTTTTTGTTTTAATGAACTTTAGATTTTCAGTAATTTTTTTCTTTTTCTTTTATTGTCTGTACCAGGGTTTGAATTCAGGGCCTCGTGTTTGCTCGACTTGCTTGCTTAGATAGTGCTCTATCACTTGAGGCATACCCCAGCCTTGTTTTTTGCTGGTTATTTTGGAAATGGAATCTCGTGGGTTTTTTATTTCCTAAGAATTTTAGATTTATAGGAAAGGTGCACCGGTAGAGTTACCATCTATAAACTCCCTAGTGGTAATATCTAGGGAGTAATCTGTCAAAAACTAAGAAATTTATGTTGGTATATTCCTAACAATAATAGAATTGATAGGGGTCCTACCCATTGCCCCACTATACCACATTGCAGTTAGATGACTGATTTTAAACAAGAAACAGATGGAAGCGGGTGTGGGGGCGGGAGACAGCATTGGACAGACCAAAGGGTAAGCTGAGGCCACTCGGGTGCAGAAGCAAGGCTGAGCCAGGCACAAGGGGGGGCTGTGCTGTCCAAGTGTCCCTGGGGAGCTGCGACTCACCCGGCCGATCATAGTGCAGATGGCATGCTCGTGACATCCCCCATTGAGGCCGTCGGCACAGGAATCGATCTCTAGGCAGGTGTAGCCATCTCCCCGGAAGCCCGTGGGGCAGCTGCAGGAGACCGTGGTGTTCTTCTGGGAGCACTTGGCGACCTTTGCACAGCCCCCGTTGTTCTGTTTGCAAAAGTCCACCGCTGCAAGAAAGGCGAGCGAGGACTCTGTGTGCCTGGGTCTGTGCAATGGGGACTGGAGAGCTGGGACCTCAGTCTACCCTGCACTGTTGTGTTGAGGGCTCCATGTCTTCACACGTGTGTTCCCCAGGTCCTGTGTGCAAAGCTGTTGTGACACCCTCCTAGACCAGGCCCTCTCTGTCTACCTCCATCCCTCTGTGTCACCTACCTCTAGGTTTACTTTGGTGCTATGTTTCAGAATGAGTGTGTGTGTGTGTGCGCGCATGTGCACATGCATGCATGCCAGTTCTGGGGTTTAAACTCAGGACTTGGGGGTTGTCCCTGAGCTGATTTTGCTCAAGGTTAGTGCTCTACCACTTAAGCCAGACCTTTACTTCTGGCTTTTTTGTTTTTTGTTTTTTGTTTTTTTTTTTGGTAGTTTATTAGAGAGAAGAATCTCAAAGACTTTCTTGCCTGGGCTGGCTTCAAATTGCAATCCTCAGATCTTAGTCTCCTGAGTAACTAGGATTATAGGCGTGAGCTACCAGCACCTGGCTGTTTGAGCTGCTAAGGTTAGCACAAATTCCTGTGTGTGTGTGTGTGTGTGTGTGTGTGTGTGTGTGTGTGTTATAATGCCTTGTAGCAGAACAGTGGGAATAAAGATCTAATGTTCATAAAGATAGTCTAGATCTCATGAAAATCACTGTAAAGAACATGTGGCCAAGACATGTGCTTTTGTTGTAGGTTGCCCAATAAAAGGCTACCTTCCCTACCTCCCTGTAGCTTGGTGTAGCTGATGAGTGCCAGTCAGTAGGATGGGAGCAGACCTGATATTTAGCACCAATTAGATTGTATTCTTTTTTTTTTTTTTGGTTGTGGGGCTTGAACTCTGGGCCTGGGCGCTGTCTCTCAGGTCTTTAGCTCAAGGCTAGTGCTCTACCACTTGAGCCACAGTGCCACTACCCATTTTCTGGTGGCTAATTGGAGATAAGAGTCTCCTGGACTTTCCTGCCTGGGCTGGCTTTGAACTCCGATCCTCAAATCTCAGCTTCCTTAGTAGCTAGGATTACACGCATGAGCCACCGATGCCTGGCAGTAGATTGTGTTCTTAAATTCAGAGTTTTTCTACCTCAACAAGTAAGTCAGTCTTTAAAACACTCAGAAAATGGACTGCAGTAATAAGAAAAATAGTTAAACCTACACATAGTGGGCTCTCAGTAGAACCACTGTGAATACCACATCTGCAGTAGTTAGGATGTGGGCTCAGCCCTATTGAGAAGCACAAACACAAGCTATATACTTATTCTGCCTCATATTATTCATCGTTTAGAGAGAAATCTTCACGACTAACACAGCTTCACTCTGAAAGATCATCTGGGGATGAGGTTTGTCTCCTTTTTCTCCCTCCATCTGCTGCTTGGGTTTTGCTATGATGGGAGCTATCTTCACCACTCCAGTGAGCAGTGACAGAGCAGAAAGAGAGGAGAAATGCGGGCCCCAGATGATCTTTCAGAGTGAAGCTGTGTTAGTCCTGAAGATTTCTCTCTAAAGGATGAATAATATGAGGCAGAATAAGTATATACCTTGTGTTTGTGCTTCTCAGTGGGGCTGAGCCTACATCCTAACTACTGCAGATGTGGTATTCACAGTGGTTCTACTGAGAGCCCACTATGTGTAGGTTTAACTGTTTTTCTTATTACTGCAGTCCATTTTCTGAGTGTTTAAAAGACTGATTTACTTGTTGAGGTAGAAAAACTCTGAATTAAATGGCATTCTGTTTTGCAAAGCATATTAGCCAAGCACTATTCTACTGAGCGAATCCTCAGCCTGCAAAGCAATTTTAAAATTATAGCTTTCAGGCCTGATGCTGGTGGCTCATGTCTGTAATCCTAGCTACTCAGGAAGCTGAGATCTGAGTTGCACAGTTCAGAGCCAGCCTGGCAGGAAAGCCTGTGAAACTCTGATCCCCTAAAAGCTGGAAGTGGAGCTGTGATTTGTGTTGTAGAGCACTGGCCTTGAACTAAAAAGCTAAGAGACAACACCTAGGTTCTAAGTTCAAGCCCCAGTACTTACACTCCCTCCCCGCTTCTTCCCCTCCCCCCCACTCTTCACAGGCTTTGGGCTAAGAGCCTGGCTTAAGTGTTAAAGTACTTGCCCAGGAAGCCTTAGTTCTAAGTTTAAACCTGCGTTCTACCCAAACAAAGCAAAACTAGCGTGGAAGATGGGCAGGCCAAGCACAAGCAAGCCAACTAGGGAAACTGAGTCTTAGGGAGGGTATACATTGTTGAAAGAGCCCAAGCAGGAAGCAGAAGAGCCAGGATGGAACCCAGCACTGTGATCACAGTCCTGCTCCTCCTTCCATTCCCGTTCCATGCTGCTAGTCCACAGAAGCTCAAAGGGGGCCCACCTGTGCACGTGAGTCCGTCACCTTCATAGTTCAGGTTACACTCACACGTGTTGTTCTCCATACAGGTGGCCTGAGCAGAACAAGGAGGCGTGCACACTGGAGCTGAAACTACGGAGGAAGAGGTCACAGTTCACCCCGTGTCAGTGTCACCAAGGGGGACTCATCTGGATAGTGGTTCAAACTCTCTGGCTGCCTGTTGCTGCACTTCAGAAGGACCTCTCATCAGAAGCCTGGGGATGCTTTGCTAAGGATCCCCTCCCCCTCTACGAGAGTAGAGATTTGGAGCTTCTAGAATCATTTTCTTGAAGAGAAATCTGCAAGGTTGTCCCGATTGCAATGCCTATCTGCTACCTTAGGAGCCACCAATGCAAGCTTTACCCCTCTGAACTGCCTAGCAGGGATGACCTTGGTGGATGAACTCTCAGGTCCAAAGGACATGGGTTGCAAGTGGAGATGGTTAAACTGGAGGAGACAGGCCTCTGCCTTCTGAGGGCATCACTCAGCTTGGGAGAAGTCTGCGGCGTGGGTCTGCAGACCAGGGCTGCAGTGTGCAGAGACGGCGAGAAGCCGACGGGCACGTAGGGGCAGGAGTGAACCCATACTGCTGGGGTTGTTGAAAGTCATGCTGGGCTGTCCTTGCATAAGTAGAGCCTATGGACACCCTTCTGACCCTCAGGGAGGAGGAAATAATATTGATTAACCTTCTCAACCTTCACCTCCCAGACAACAGGGCTTGAGGTTTGAAGAAGGCCTCGGAGAATGGACTGCTTAGTCATGATCAAAATCATGAGGCAGTTGGGTCTGGTGGTACATGCCTGTAATCCCAGCTACTGGGGAGGCAGAAGCAAGGGTGATCCCAAGTTCAAGACCAGCTGGGGCAACATTAGCAAGACTCTATCTCAAAAACCAAAGCCGAAGGACCGAGAGCCTGGCTGAGGGACTAGAGTAAGTGCCTAATGAGTGCAAAGGTCTGGGTTCGATCCCTAGTACTGCCAACAACAAGGAAAAAATAATAGGATTATGATGCTGACAATACTGACAGGACATACAGAGCACCATGACCTCCAAGCTCACAACTCTGCTTTCCTCGCTAAGTGTGTGGTGCACACTTCCTTCTATGGAAGAGCCAGGCGAAGCTCAGAGAGGGTGTGTCTGCGGCCGTTTATCTAGCGAGTAGCAGGATGAGGGACCAGGTCTTGGGGCTCCAAAGTCTGTTTTCCCCAGCATCACTCAACGCCTGGGGTTGTTCTGTCCCTGCACGAGGATATGGGTTCTCTTTTTTGAGCTGGATCCTTCCAGAATGGCACAGAAAGATGTGTGGATTGCACAGGCATTTCCCCCTTCCCATCCTCCAGCCTCATCGCTTCCTCCTGGAATCAGCACACACCTGCTTTGGGTTTCCTTGGGGATCCACTCAGACCCCACCTCCCTCCGTGGGATCCGCCACCACCTGGGTCGCTCCCCCAACACACCTATGGGAACGTCGCAGAAGTGGCCTGTCCATCCGGTTTCGCAGAAGCACGCCCCCGAGCCCAAGATCCCTTCGTCGCACTGCCCATGGGCTGAGCAGCCACAGGCTGGAATGCAGAGCAGAGCCCGGTGAGTCATCCAGCCACGCCCCTCGCTTCCACCTGACTGTGCTGTCATTCATCCCTTTCCCCAAGCATTCCCAAATACCTTCTCTGTGGGCCAGGAGTGATGGGTTGATGGAGGGGTGTGTGCACAGGCACTAATGAGCTCTTGAATGTGTGATCATAACCCCAGAAGCCCAGAGTGGCATGGGGGCATGTTTTAGAAAGATAAATAGAAGTCGGGGAGGTGGGGGGGGGAGGAACTTCTCCAGGGCCTCCTGAGATGGAGAAATTGTCTTGCAAGTTCTATTTAAAACATAGGTATCAGCTGGGCGCCCGTGGCTCACGCCTGTAATCCTAGCTACTCATGAGGCTGAGATCTGAATATCGTTGTTCAAAGCCAGCCCAGGCAGGAAAGTCCCTGAGACTCTTATCTCCAATAAATCACTAGAAAACTGGCAGTGGTGCTGTGGCTCAAGTGGTAGAGCACTTGCCTTGAGCTGAAGAGCTGAGGGACAGCACCTAAGCCCAGAGTTCAAGCCCCACGACTGACAAAACAAGCAAAAATCCCCATAGGTACCAGTTCTGCCATGTGTCCTTGCCTCTAGGATGGCTGCGCCAGCCTAAGGTGCTCTAGCCTAGATTGCTGCTCCAGCTTACCCGTGGTGGTCCTGCTTCTGATTTTGCTCTCCTCCACAGGGCAGCTAGAACGATCCTTTGTAAATCTGCTCACCATCTTCCTCTGGCTGCCTGCCTCACTTAGAATAGGTACTGACAAAAAGTTCCTATGTGATCTTGGAACCCCCGGTGACCCTCAGATTTCATTTCCCTTTTTGGTCCTCTATTCCCTCTTGCTATTACTCCATACCATGCCTGATCCTGCCTCAGGGCCTTTGCAATTGCTCACCTCTCCTCCAAGGAAGCTAATCTGCATGGTCTACATGTGATATTTAAGTTTAAAGTAAGTACAGTGAAAGTATCAGTTTCTTATTGACATATTTGTGAGGGCTTAATAGTCCCAAGGTGGTCAGTGGCTACAGCGGTGTCACAGAAGACATCAATCATGGCTGCAAGTTTGATAGGTCTATTCATGAATTTCCAGCAACCTCTACTTATTATTTTCCACAGCACAATCTTGTTTTATTCTTGACCCCTCTACTGCCTCTTTGTCTTTATCATCTGCCTACGGTTCTTGTTTCTCTAAGCTCTTTGAGAGCTGGGATTTTGCCCTAACCCACACACTCAGCTACTGAATCCCTCAACCGTACAACAATTTTCATTGTGAGAAGCACTTAATTAATATTTTGGAACTTGGTTTCTTCACCTGCTAATTGGGGGTAATAACAGAGGTGGTATGAATGGCAGAATTGGTGTATATTTTCCTATTTTTACTTAAAAAATAGCTCCAGGTGCTGGTGGCTCATACCCTATAATCCTAGCCACTCAGGAGGTGTAGATCCAAGGATCTTGGCTTGTAGCCAGCCTGGGAAGAATGATCTGTGAGATTCTTATCTCCAATTAGCCAACAAAATGTTGGAAATGGAGGTGTGGCTCAAGTGGTAGAGTACCAGCCTTGAGCAAAAAAGCCAAGTGAGTTCAAGCCCCAGTACTGGCACACTCTGGTGCGTGTGCGCACGCACACACACACACACACACTCACACACACACACACACACACAGAGAAAGTTACCCACTTAGCTTTGGGTGTAGTGAAGTGGCAGAGCATTTACCTAGCAGGCAGGAGGCCCTGCGTTTGATCCCACCTACACACACACACACACACACACACACATACACACACACACAACTTTCTACCCCAAAGGTTTGTGATAAGGATTAAATGGGAAAATATCTATACCTGATACACAACGTAAGAAACAATAAATATTACCTATCAATATTAGTAACTGCTCAACAAAAACGCACATGGCTTGCATGATGGAATGAGTGGAAGCTGTTCAGCCGTGAGTAGAACCTGTTTCTTGATGACTGCAGAGGCTGAGGGTTTGAGCTTGAGAGGTGAGGCACATTCAGAAATGACAGGAAGGATACAGAATCCAAGCAGAAGGCTGGTAGGGCAAGTGGCTGGGCGGTGGGGGGAGGGGCGGGAGGCGAGAGGAGGGAGAGAGGGAGGGTGCAGAGGATGCTCCGGGTCACATGGATGGTGTGGATGAGGACATGACACATACAGTAAACACATCAGCACATGGAGGGCCACATACCCTGACAGTGAGGCCCGAATCTCCCCGGCAAGCACAGGTTACATGCTGTCCCGTTGAAGCCCTCGTTGCATTGACACTGTCTTGAGGCTGAGAGCAGATTGATGCATACGCCCTGGTTGTTGCATGGTAAATCTGGTCCTCCGGGGCAGGCTGCAAGAGAGGAAACAGGGTGGGCTGGAAGAGAGTGCAGTCGGCTCTGCAGTAAACATGTGGGTTCTGACATCTGTTGGGTGGCCCTGGGTGGCAGAGGGTATTTAGGGAAAGCACTAGCATAGGCCATGTATAGGACTGTATGCTGATTAGGCAACAGATTGAATTGTGCACTGTGTTTGGGGTTAAGGGACATAGGTTTGAGCACTTGGGGGTTGAATGGTAAAACTTGCTCCAAGCTTTATTTTCTTAGCTTTAAATGATGATGATGATGATGATGATGATGATGATGATGATGGTGATGATAAAGATACCTAGCTCCTGCTTAACCTATATTATGTCTATTTTACTTTTTGGCAGTGCCCATCCTGGGGCTTGAAGTCAGGGCCCGGGTGTTGTCCCTGAGCTCTTTTGCTCAAGGCTAGCACTCTACCACTTGAGTCACAGCTCCACTTATGGTTGTTAATTGGACTTGTTAATTGGACTTTTCCCGCCCAGGCTGGCTTCAAACTGTGATTCTCAGCCCGCAGCCTCCTGTGTCACTAGGATTACGTACACGAGCCACTGGCACCCGGCACCACATCATTTTTGAAAGGCTCAAGTGAAGTGTGGCAACCAAGAGCATGGAAAAGAATCTAAAGTACTGAAGAAATGGGAGGGCTGATACGGGTTGTATAAACAGTGTACAGGTTAATGTTGGAGGCTGGGGAAGTGTGTGGACTTGGCCTAGAGTGTCCTAACTAGATTAAGGCAAATGGAATACACAGGGTAGTGTCATGGCTTCTGAGGTCTGTGGGGCCTTGAGTTTGTGCCTGATCCTCTCTATGCTTCTTTTGTCCTCATCATTTTGAGGTTTAGCTATTGAACCTGCTTCCAAGGGGTGGTGGCTGGGACCCAGTGTCCTGTTACCCATGGGGAACAGCACCCAAGAATGCGCTGCTTAGAATCATATAGCACGAGGATGTACCATGCTGGCTGGCTGCCACGCTGTGGACGGCTGATGTGGAAACTGTGCGTATAAGTCGAGTGATGTGCTCTAGAGGAGGGAGGTCGGTGCTATACACCTTACAACTGGGTTTTCAGGAATTGTGGTCTACATGCACCAGTGTATCACCTCTCAAAGGTAGAGCCATGCCAAATACATATACACAGGCATGCTTGTCAATATCATGAACCTTGCACAGTCATATGTGTATAAATATATATGTTGATACAAAATATGTCATCTATTCTTATAGACAATACAAGAAGTATATATTACAGAATATACAATGCAGAGCATATATGACATCATTATATAAAATATATTATATAATATATAATAATATAATATGGTATATTATATAATATATAATGTATTGGAAAATATTAAATATTTTCAATGGTGTTAAGCACCATGAGAAATGTCTGTGGCTTAATTTTAAACAAAACAGCTGAAACAGCAGGATCTCAACTCACTGAAACACAGAATGGACCAAATGAAGCAGACAGACAGAAGGAAAGACAGGCAGCCAGCTGTTCAGCATGTTTCATTTTGGAGTCTGGGGATCCTCAGGTCCTCAGAACTAGGGTACTTTCTAGAGTTGCACAGGTAGCTTGCCACGCCCCCCCCCCCCGCCGCCCCGCCCCATACAAGGCAGAAGAGGCCTCCTCACCCTGACAGTCTGGCAGGTAGTAGCCCTTGCAGCACGTGGGGATCTGCACCACCAGGGCGCACAGATTCTGGCAGCCCTCCAGGTTCCTCCTGTAGGGCTGCAGCAGGTGGTACAGACACTTCTGCTTCTTACCCTAAAGGGAGAGTGAGCATGCCCCTGAGCTGTGGTGCCTTGCCGTCCCAGCAAGGCCAGGACTCTGAGGCTACAGTCTGCCCCCAGTGGAGGATCTTGGCACTACATGGGTGGAAAAACCCGGGACTTTTCTTTTTCTTTCTTTCTTTTTTTTTTAATTTTTATTTTTTTGTGAACACACTGTACAGAGGGGTTACAATTACATGGGCAGGTTAATGCGTACATTTCTTACCAAGCATTGTTGCCTCCTCCTTTGTTTACCCTTCACATTCCTTTCCCAGCCTCCCCCCCAATCCCCCCCCTCGTAAAGCTCGTTTTCGACATGACAACTTGCACTTCTCATTGTTGCAACTGGTCCACCTGTATCCTTAAACGACTTTTTTTCCCCCATCTCCTCTACAAGTTAAGTGAAGTAAGCCAGGCCCAAAGAAACATAGGTCCCATGGTTTCCCTTATTTGCAATATCTAGTATATGTATGAGTCAAGCGGAAAAGGTCAGATAATGCGATGTTAGGAAAATGAACCCTTAGATATGTATTTTAATGTTTTTTTTCCTTTCATGCATTTGTTTCTAACACATTTATAAGATTATCTCTTTGTAGCTTTGTATGTCCCTCCCCCACAGTATAACCCCTGCTTTCACTATATTTGATGTCAGTATAACTTGTAGAGGAGATGGGGAAAAACCCGGGACTTTTCAAGGTCATATATAGGTCAAGGGTGAAGGGAAAATAGGCAGACCTAGTACCCAGGCAGAATTTCTCCCGAGTCTTAAGAGGAAGGACTTTCTGACTCTCAGTGCTGTTTGAAAATGGCATGGATTCCTGGTGTAGGGGTGGACAGAGTTAGTTTCCTCTAGAAATACTCAGCAAGGAAGGTGTGAGTTTTATCTTCTATTGAAACAGTGTTTTTCTTACAGGGGTCACTAGTGCTAGAGAGAGCATGACTTTAGGTTTGCTTGCTTGTTTTCTGTCTCCAGTGCTTGTGCTCTAACACAAGTCTTTGTAAACTGTGCTGAGCACACCCACTACCACTGAGCTACATCACCTCTAGCCCTTGATTTTGGAATTTTTTTTAAAATAACAGTATTTCACGAACTCCTACAGTATGTCAAGCATTTGAATGTACAACTATTTGAAGTTTTATTTTCCTTTAATAACCATATATAGAAGGATTATTAGTTCTGTTTTTACAAAATTAAAAGATTATGCAACTTGCCAAAGATGATCAGAATTTGATCCTGGATCTCTGACTCTAATTGGCTAAACCACAAATTTATATGGATTTAATCTTAGTTCTGTTCCTTACTAGCTGTGTGCCTTTGGGCTGATTTCTTGCCTTCTCTGAAATTCATTTTCTTATGAGAAAATTGGGGGTGACCCAATAGCTTCCTACAGGTAAATATAATGAGCAACAGGGTATACTTTCTCTCTTCATCATCATCATCATCATCTAGCTCTATCTATCTATCTAATTATCTATTGTCTATCATCCATCTATATCAGTCATATATAGCACAATACCTAGGACTGGACAACAGCCAGCAAAATGTAGCCATGATTATAACTATACTCATCACTGGCCTCTCTTCTAGGTCTACACTCGCATGACTTTTCTAGCAGCTCCTAGAAGAGGGGTGGAGGGGTAATAGGTTGATAGACAGCCTAGGCTAAGAATGCCCAGTGCTCATCCTACTGATCTGGCTTTGGAAGAATAACACAAATTGCATTTATCAGACATTCCCACCCCTTCCTACCCAGCACACACACTAACACCCCAGAAGGATGATGCTTCGCAAGGACACTATACCTCTCCATCGTTTGTGGCTGCATTTAAAATTACCTTGGATTTGCTCCAGGTGGGGCATCGGGGTGTATTACTACAGCTCCCACACTCACCCTAGTATGCAAGGAAAGAGAGCAATTTTAAGATAAATAACGAAAAGTGCAAGGAAATGTTTTCTTGGTTATTGTCTGGGTGGGTTGATGAAGATCTTATTCTTGATTAAGGTTCTGGCTATGATTAAGAATATCAAAATAAACACACAACAGTTTGGTCATGGAGATTTCTGAAGGTCTATTTTGGTTCTCAGTTCTTGGGTTTCATTCTTTGGGCAAAGTTCTGTGCTTTATAGAGCTGTCCCAGGGCAGGATGAGACAGGCACATTGTGGTAACAATTAGACATAGGAATTTAAGTGTAGTTCCATTTCAAGTTACTGGGATACTTTTGGATAATCCCTTATACCCTTGATCCGTAGTTTTAATTTTACTTACTTTTTCCTTTGGGAAGAATTGGGGTTTGAATTTAGGGACTTAGTTTTTTCCTGGGCTGGTGGTATGCCACTTGGACCATGCCCTCAGCCCTTTTTGCTTTGAAGCTTTTTGGGGCTGGGTTCTAGTGACTCATACAAGTAATCCTAGCTATTTATGAAGCTGAGATCTGAGGATCACAGTTCAAAACCAGCCCAAGCAAACACATCAGAGAATTTCTTATTTCTAATTTACTGGCCAAAAGCTGGAAGTAGAGGTGTGACTAGCAGAAAAAGCCAAACAAGAGTGTGAGATTCTTAGTTCAAGCAACAGTACTGGCACAAAGAAAAAGAGCATTTTTCAGATAGGGCCTCAAAAATTGTTTTTTCCCAGGGTTAATTTGGATCACCATTCAATCTTCCTACTCTCTCACCTCTCACAGTAGCTGAGATTGCAGGTCCATCCATCCATGACAGTTTTATAATGTACAAGGTGTAGCCTTGATTTCCAAATTTATATAGTAGCTATAATAACTATGCCCACTACCAGATTACTGTGGGGGTAAAATGTGCATGGAGCTGACAGGAGAGCTTCAAGTGATGTTCAATAAGTAGCACTTCCTGGATGAGTGAGTGAATGTGAAAACGTTTAGCATCTGATAGGAGAATCTAGCATAAACTCTCTATCAACGTTGTGACCTGAACGAACAGGCACATGCCATGTAGTTAGACTCAAGCATAGGAAATTGTCATTCTTCTAGGCTCCAAATGGTTGGAGATAACAGTTTTGTATTCCTGAATGTGGGTTAGGAGCTCAGAACCTGTTGAATGAATAAGTAGATGGATGGGTTAGAGACTGAGTGGTCTGGATTTTGATACACAGTTGGTATCTAAGAACCGCTTCCTTCGTGATGAAGGGGTGAGGAAGTGGTGGGTGGTGGATAAGCAAGGATCCTCAGGGCTTGCCTCAAGCTCAGCGGGCACTTGTGGATTCTGAGGTTGAAGAGCTCCATCACATAGACTTTAAGTCTCCTGAGTCTTGTTCTCACTGAAGACTCGCCTCCAAACTTCCCCAGGAGGGATCCTAAGAGAGCCTGTGCCCAAGGTTTTGTTACTGAGGTGGTAGTATTAGGACTGACCAGCACGTCGAAGGCAGCCAAGGTATCACAGCGGCCCCCCAAGGTGGGATCCAGCAGCAGGCAGTCAATGCCATAGGCCACGCCCACGTCAAACTGGAGCCCCCGTTGCACAATCCTACACATTTGATCATTTAGAAAGAGCTCACCCTGAGAGAGAGAGAGGTGGGGGGTGGGGAGTTCCTGTTAGACTTCTTTTCCTTCCAAGCCACAAGACTCAGAAAAAAATGAACCGCCACCCAAACCCAGAGCAACAGGAACCTGTTCTCCAACCCCACAAGGTTCTTGGTTCTCACTCTGAGGGCTTTGGATGATTGGGGTTTATCTATGGTTTCTTAGCAATTGTGTGTTCTCTGGGAAGCAGCTGGGAAGGTACTGACCAAAATGAGAAGCGGTTGGAGAACAGCTTACTGTTCATAGGTATCTTGACCCCCCCTCCCCACTTCTCCTCACCCCATGACTCACAGTGTCATTGCCAGTTCCACATGTCACTCTTAGCTCGGAGCCCTGCAAGGTCTTCCAGGAATCCGATCTCAGGAGATCGATAGCTAAAGCCTGCAGGAGAAATAATACCCCATTAACACCCCTTCCTCCCGTTTGGGCTCAGAGAGGAAGGAGCTTTGCCAACAAGTCAACTCCAGATAAAAGGTTTCCAAATTTTGTACAACATTACAATAATTTCAGCTTTAAAATGACATGACCGAGGATGTAATCAAAAGGAAAAATAACCATGCACTCCAGAGAGTGGAAATTTCTCCTAGAGAGACTATCTCAGCCAACCCTTCCACCTTACTTATGCTGGGGTATCCCAGAAGATAGTTCCCGGCAAATGACAAGATTGGCTGGGAAATAGCCTAGGTGGCACTAAGAGGCTCAGTTGTGCCCCTCAGAAAGTTATGTAGACATCCCAGGATCTCAAAATAGGACCTTACTTGGAAAAAAAAGATCATTGTCCATGTCACTCAGAAAGATGAATTTGTCCTGGAGCAGGGAGGGCTCTTAATCTAATATAAACAATGTCCTTCGAAGGAGCAAGAAGAGGATTGTCATATGAAGACCCTGAGGCATACAGGGAGAAGATGGAGGAGGAGATGGAAGGGATGCAGCCACAAGCCAAGGAATGCCGTCAGAAACTGGGCGAGAAGAGGCAGTGGATTCTCTCCTTCAGAACTGAGAAGGAACAATCTTCTTGGACCTTTGCTTGAATCTTAGCCTTTAGAACTAGGAAGGGATCCATTTCTGCTGTGTCAGGCCATTCAGAGTGTGGTAATTTGCAATGTAGTTTGGGGTGCCATGAATGAACTGGAGTTAGGCACTGGCATTCTTGGAGTGGATGGCCTCTGCCCTGCAGAAATCTGAATCCACCAGAGTGGCCACCGTGATCCCATAGCTGACTACTTCAAGATGAAGCAGTCACTTGCTTAGTAATTCTGGAACTAAGAAGGAGACAGTCTAGCTTAAAAATCTTGTCATCCATAGCATTCTGATGTGCAAAGGAGGAGAAAGGCTACTGTATAGTCAAAAGAGAAAGATAGTCTTGGTATTGGACATTAGTCCAGTAAATAGAACTGGGTCTGGTTGTACTATAGAGTGCAATGAACCACAGCCAATCAGGAAAGGATGCAATGAGCAGGGAATGGCCCATCCTGGGCCTGGAGGCACATTGATAATTGCTGGGCCTCCATGGTTCAGTGCTTCATGGTGTCACCTCTGGTACATTCCCATGTTGCCTTGTGCGTGCAAACAAAATACCTTGGCATCTCGGATCACGTGGAACTTCAAATACTCCTCCAGCTTGTCCTTGTTGAGTGGGTTGAATAGGAACTCCTGTTGCTTAGCGGGTAGAGCTTGGAGGGCCTGGTCTGTGGGCCAGAACAATGTGACTGGGATGTGGATGGGTTCGGTGATGGTACTCAGCAAGCCTGAGTCCTGAAATACAAGAATGAGGCCCTCACTGGCACATACCATGAGTAAGTCTCTGCTGTGTGGGCACAGGGTCTCTCTGAGTATCTCCTCTGTGTCCTGTCTATGGCTGGTCTGGACTCTTGGCGGTTTTGGAATAGCATAGTGAGGAATAAGAGGATTGTCATTCTCCAACCATTCTCACCCAGGTTTCTTTAGAAGGTAAACTGGGAAGTTCAACTCTTAGGCTTTTGTTAATAGGAAAATAAATTTTAGTGAGTAACGTCACTAAAATTTGGGTAGAAGTATTCTACTTCTGCCCAAATATTTCAAGCTGTGAAAAGATCAGCTTAGCATTGTTCTTCTCCTGTCTTGGCTTTTTTATTCAAAAGCATGTGCAAGACAACTCCTGTGCATATATAAAATTTCTAGCTCCTCAGTTCTTCTGAATTGAGACAAATAGGGAGGAATCATTTTGCCATGTCTAGAGTGTGGCCTGGGTGTGCTATACACAGTTTTTCTGTAACTTTTTCCCAACAATTTTATGAATTAGATTTTACTATTGTCTTTTATTGGACCCTAGAGAATTTTGCTAAATTCTTCTAAAAGCACATATCAATGGTAGGGAGGTGTTGGGAAGGTTGGCAAAGATTACTTAGCTATGAGATTTTTACTCTGGACCCCTTCCCCCCTGCCCGTGTTGGTTGTGGGGCTTGAACTCAGAGCCTGGAAACTGTCCTTGAGCTCTATGGCTTAAGACTAGTGCTCTAACACTTTGAGCCATAGCACCACTTACAGTTTTCTGGTGGTTAATTGGAGATAAGAGTCTCACAGACTATCCTGCCTAGGTAGGCTTTGAACCATGATCTTCAGATCTTAGCTTCCCGAGTAGCTAGGATTACAGGCATGAGCCACTGGCACCTAGAACTCTGGACATCTTGAACCCCCATTCTAACAAGCTAGAGAGCCTGAGACTCAAGGCACTGGAACCTCTGGCTGAATCAGGTTTATGGGGGCATGCTACCAAACAGTCCTTTGGAGGGTCCACTCAGGAAGGATTTACTCCATATTTGGGAACAGTCTCTGAGTCATAAAGATACCATTAAATCTAATTTCTCTCTGCCTTACCTAGACAGCCAAGGCTGGCCAGCTCTCCACCTGAGCTTCCTCATCTCTTTTATGTGAAACATCTAATCTGGGCATTGGGACATTCCACTGTCTTTCCACCTCCCCAGCCAACTTAAATATTTGTTTCTGACTAAGCCAATGTACATTGATTAGGTTGACATCATACATTTAGTGTGTGTGTGTGTGTGTGTGTGTATGCAAGCACCAGCACTTGAACTCAGGGCCTCATGTTCTCTCTTGGCTTTTTTATTCAAGGATGGTGCACTATCACTTGAGCCATATTTCCACTTCTAGGTTTTTGGTGGTTAGTTGGAGATAGGAGGCTCACAGACTTTCCTGCCCCAGCTAGCTTTCAAAGCATGGTCCTCAGATCTCAGCTTCCTGTATAGCAAGGGTTACTTGGCATGAGCCACCAGAGACAGAAAATGACTTTGTTCTCCAGAAAATTAGGACTTCCTCACATAGATCCCACAACAGCTGGCAGATATACACACAAATAAGCCCAATAAGATAAACTTCTTTAAGGCAGCCTGTTGTCAACCATCTTCCCCTTTTGTTTTTACCTGTATTAATTTAGCAAATCTGTGGTAGCCATGGTTGATTGCCGTTGTGGTGAGATTTTGCTGCAAAGACAAGAATGGATACAAAAGCTGTTCTTAGACTGTTCAACATTGAACAAAAAATTCAACTAAAAAATTCAACTAAATCCAGTGAAGATGAATCATGGGTAGAGAACTGAACAAGTCCCATGGTTCCTCTCTTCTGCTCAGGCTTTTTTGCATTACAGAGGCTTGAAGGCACTACAGTGCCTGGACTCTCTTGCAGCTACAGCCCCACCCATGACACAGGAGCCACCAAGCAGAAGTGCTAGTAGGTATTGGCAGGAACAGCAGAACTGAAACACAGTAGAGGTGACACCTGCTCTCCAGTCCATAGGGCCCTGGGTGGGAGGTGGGAAAAGTAGAATCTACATGGTGGCTAGAGCCAGAAAGGCTCTGTAGGGTGGTTGAGGGTCCTCCTACCGCAGGCTTCCCTGAGCTGCACAGTTTCTAGTTGTGTAGCCTTTAAGCTCAACTTTAAAGAGATTCAGTGAAGTACCTAGTATCTCAAGAAACTCCTTTTGTAAAAGTAAGGAATAGTGGATTATGAAGTCTATAATGAAGGACCCTGGGAAATACTCACATAAATAAAAGTTAAAATAATCTTTCCATTCCATTGAGGAGTTTCATTCCAGGTTTAGTTTTAACCACTTCTAATCTATCTATCTACTACTCATCAATGATTGTCTTCTTTCTTCTCTCTCTCCCTTCATTACTCCCTACTTCATGTTCCAAATGGACCATCTACCCTTATGGACAAGAAATAAGCACTTACAAAATTATTTACTTGTCTGTCTATATCAGATAGCATCTCACTATGTTGCTCTAGGCTGGCCTTGAACTCCTGAGTAGCTGGGACTGTAGACCTATGTCACTGTACCTGGATAAAAGTAAACTACTGATTTAAAACACATTTTTACTTATTATATCTTACCTAGAATAATATATCCTAGACCTTGGATGATAGCCTGAGGTTGCAGCTTCTAAGGTGCACAAAACTTATAATGAAGTTACAATGATTCCCTGTGATAGCTCAAGATCAGAATGGAGACAGTCATGTGGGAGTCCCTTTGCACTAAGAAAATGACAGAGTTTACCTACCAGAATCCTCCCTGAGGTGTCTCTGGGGGTGATGACCAAATTTTGAGGAGACAGCAATTTGTCTATGACATGGATGACCCCATTGTTACTGATGATATTGCTGGCTATGACCTTAGCCTTATTGTTTATGTACACTGTGTCCTGAAGTCAGCCAAAGAGAAAAAAATAAAAACAAATTAGTGAGGGAAATGCATGAAATCAATTCCCACAGGATGCCATATTTTTTATTATGACTTAGGAGGAGTTAATGACAAATAATATCTAACCAAACAAAATAATCATTTTGATATAATTCTGAAATTGAAAGTGAAGAAGTAGTTATTTTTGGCAGTATTTTTTTTGTACTTGTTAAGTTGGTACTCTATGACTTGACTTACTTCCCTAGTCTTTGCTTTAAGTTGTTATTATTATTATTATCTTAGATAATGTTTTGTTCTATTTCTTCCCTGGACACCCTAGACTGCAACGTTCCTGTCTCTTCCTCCTGAGTAGCTGGTTTTTTTTTTTATTGTAAAGATACTATACAGAGGGTTACAGTTACATGGTTTCCCTTATTTGCAATATCTAGTATATGTATGAGTCAAGCGGAAAAGGTCAGATAATGCGATGTTAGGAAAATGAACCCTTAGATATGTATTTTAATGTTTTTTTTTCCTTTCATGCATTTGTTTCTAACACATTTATAAGATTATCTCTTTGTAGCTTTGTATGTCCCTCCCCCACAGTATAACCCCTGCTTTCACTATATTTGATGTCAGTATAACTTGTAGAGGAGATGGGGAAAAACCCGGGACTTTTCAAGGTCATATATAGGTCAAGGGTGAAGGGAAAATAGGCAGACCTAGTACCCAGGCAGAATTTCTCCCGAGTCTTAAGAGGAAGGACTTTCTGACTCTCAGTGCTGTTTGAAAATGGCATGGATTCCTGGTGTAGGGGTGGACAGAGTTAGTTTCCTCTAGAAATACTCAGCAAGGAAGGTGTGAGTTTTATCTTCTATTGAAACAGTGTTTTTCTTACAGGGGTCACTAGTGCTAGAGAGAGCATGACTTTAGGTTTGCTTGCTTGTTTTCTGTCTCCAGTGCTTGTGCTCTAACACAAGTCTTTGTAAACTGTGCTGAGCACACCCACTACCACTGAGCTACATCACCTCTAGCCCTTGATTTTGGAATTTTTTTTAAAATAACAGTATTTCACGAACTCCTACAGTATGTCAAGCATTTGAATGTACAACTATTTGAAGTTTTATTTTCCTTTAATAACCATATATAGAAGGATTATTAGTTCTGTTTTTACAAAATTAAAAGATTATGCAACTTGCCAAAGATGATCAGAATTTGATCCTGGATCTCTGACTCTAATTGGCTAAACCACAAATTTATATGGATTTAATCTTAGTTCTGTTCCTTACTAGCTGTGTGCCTTTGGGCTGATTTCTTGCCTTCTCTGAAATTCATTTTCTTATGAGAAAATTGGGGGTGACCCAATAGCTTCCTACAGGTAAATATAATGAGCAACAGGGTATACTTTCTCTCTTCATCATCATCATCATCATCTAGCTCTATCTATCTATCTAATTATCTATTGTCTATCATCCATCTATATCAGTCATATATAGCACAATACCTAGGACTGGACAACAGCCAGCAAAATGTAGCCATGATTATAACTATACTCATCACTGGCCTCTCTTCTAGGTCTACACTCGCATGACTTTTCTAGCAGCTCCTAGAAGAGGGGTGGAGGGGTAATAGGTTGATAGACAGCCTAGGCTAAGAATGCCCAGTGCTCATCCTACTGATCTGGCTTTGGAAGAATAACACAAATTGCATTTATCAGACATTCCCACCCCTTCCTACCCAGCACACACACTAACACCCCAGAAGGATGATGCTTCGCAAGGACACTATACCTCTCCATCGTTTGTGGCTGCATTTAAAATTACCTTGGATTTGCTCCAGGTGGGGCATCGGGGTGTATTACTACAGCTCCCACACTCACCCTAGTATGCAAGGAAAGAGAGCAATTTTAAGATAAATAACGAAAAGTGCAAGGAAATGTTTTCTTGGTTATTGTCTGGGTGGGTTGATGAAGATCTTATTCTTGATTAAGGTTCTGGCTATGATTAAGAATATCAAAATAAACACACAACAGTTTGGTCATGGAGATTTCTGAAGGTCTATTTTGGTTCTCAGTTCTTGGGTTTCATTCTTTGGGCAAAGTTCTGTGCTTTATAGAGCTGTCCCAGGGCAGGATGAGACAGGCACATTGTGGTAACAATTAGACATAGGAATTTAAGTGTAGTTCCATTTCAAGTTACTGGGATACTTTTGGATAATCCCTTATACCCTTGATCCGTAGTTTTAATTTTACTTACTTTTTCCTTTGGGAAGAATTGGGGTTTGAATTTAGGGACTTAGTTTTTTCCTGGGCTGGTGGTATGCCACTTGGACCATGCCCTCAGCCCTTTTTGCTTTGAAGCTTTTTGGGGCTGGGTTCTAGTGACTCATACAAGTAATCCTAGCTATTTATGAAGCTGAGATCTGAGGATCACAGTTCAAAACCAGCCCAAGCAAACACATCAGAGAATTTCTTATTTCTAATTTACTGGCCAAAAGCTGGAAGTAGAGGTGTGACTAGCAGAAAAAGCCAAACAAGAGTGTGAGATTCTTAGTTCAAGCAACAGTACTGGCACAAAGAAAAAGAGCATTTTTCAGATAGGGCCTCAAAAATTGTTTTTTCCCAGGGT